CGAATACGCAGGGTTACTTCACAATATCTTGATGATACGCACAAATTTTATTTTTGTAGCTTATCTGTAATGTTCGTTGCGTATTTGATACGCTTGGATTATATTTTACTGCTTATTTCTGCATTTCGGATGCGTATTTCACGCAGATACGCAGCTTATCTGGAGCTCTGTTTAATAACCAATCCTTCATTTAAAACTGTTTTGTTTTTGTGGTTTTTGTGTGAAAGTTTTTCCGATAACAATAAATAAATGTGTGAAGAAAGAGGTTTTAGATCTGTATTTCAGTGATTTTATCCTTTCTTACAATTTGACATGTATCGTGATACAAGTAGTATCGTCAGTCCGTATCGTGATACGAATCGTATTGCAAGTTACAAGGCAATACTCAGCTCTAATGTGTTCATTGACTTATGTATAGCCACCATATAGCTGGAATATTGCTGAGTGCGGCGTTAAACAAAAAACAAAAAACCACTAATGTATAACTTTGGAAATAGCTCAAGAATACAAAGTCTGAGTGAAATGTCCCATTTATTATATAGTGCCCAAGTGCTTGCAGCCTGATAATGTTTCTCTTCATAAGTACTCAAAAATAGGGAAACTTATATTAACTTTTATGGGAGTATTAATGCCATTATGCAAAGACGATGTAAAGAGTTTATTAATGTAGTTGATAGATGCCACGAACTGTTCGTGATACCAAGTTTTTTTTATTGGTTTATCTCATCAAAAGCACAATGACAGCCTGTGACTTCATTGATTAGTCGGAAGCCTCTGTCTAGTATAAATAATTATGGTCTACCAAGTCAGCTTGTACTAGTCCATAAACTGAGACTAATATCTACTGAACATAATGCCAAACTACAAGATCAAAGTAGTGGACTCGAACAGATTGGGCACAGACTGATAAGATCTGACGTTGTGTAGCAGGGCATGGAGTCATCCCACAGATGACATCCTTACCTTGTCAGCTTGCTAACGGGGTTAACCTCTTTGGTCATGTGGACAAGGCGTCCGACCTCTGATCAGAAGGTCCGTGGTTCGAATCCCATTATGGGACTCGGAAATTTTATGGCCGCAACAGTTGCATCACAAAAGTCAAAGGAATTTATGATATATGGGTAGATAAGTAGGCAGTGATGATTATACATGGTGTGTATGAGAGTACTTTGGATGCAAGAAACACTCTGACAGCTGAGCATAGTGGGTTCAAATCTGAAACTTTGTGTTAAGAAAATTTAACAGTTCCATGTTGCAACTCTGTTCTGCAATATTACACGGTACATTAAGTATTTATGATTAGAAAAAAATTTGAATTCCAATTACAGCAACTTTAAAATGACTTTTATGACTGCAGATTACATGGCCAGGGGGCCTTCAATGCTGTCATATTTATCCGATTTAGCTTGCGTGGCAGTTAGTGTGATGTCTGAGATGACTTCCTGTATTACATCACCATCTTTGTGTAACATGTCTGTTAGGATGCACAGACAACTTTAAAGCTTTAAGCATAGTTCAGAAAATGTTTTCAAGATGTTGTTTGTTTGTTTGTTGTTAAACGCTGCACTCAGCAATATTCCAGCTATATGACGGCGTTCTATAAATAATCGACTCTGGACCAGCCAATCCAGTGATTGACATCATGAGCATCGATCCACACAATTGGGATACGATGACATGCATCAATCAAGTCAGCGAGACTGACCACCCTAGACTGACCACCCTAGGGTTTTCATGTCAACATGCAACTTGTGCAAGTTAAATCAAGTTCCTTAAGTCAAGCCCTGCAGGTGACTTGCTCTGTGGTAACACAACACACTCACTTAGTACATACCATTTAGTTTCTTTGTAACAGGGGGCACGGGTAGCCCAGTGCGCCGCGATTCGCTGTGCAGAGTTGCGTCCCTTGAGCAAGCCAGAAACCTATGATTGTGGGTTCGAATCCCGGTTCGCCCTGATTATATTTCTAGGTTTGTCAGCACCATACCCATGCTCGTGGGTTTCACCGAAGTGGTAAACGTCTGAGACCTGCATCACTTCGAGCTTTCATCCTACATTAAGCTGACACGCCGTGATATAACTGGAATACTGTTAAAAGCGGCGTTAAACCAAACTCACTCACTCACTCACTATATGTCTCTGGACCATGGCTTATGTGGCAAGGCAGGGCTTGATTGAACTATATATAACATGCACTTGTTCAACCTGATATTAAAAAATGCAATCAATTATTCATTTCTACATGGACCTGGTGCATGTGAACGTTTTATAAATAATAAATCATGCAGTGAAAGTGACAGGTGGTGCTAGTGGAAATATGTCAGATCAGGCTACAAGTACGACCAGATGGTGCCCTAGTGGATAATATTTCTAGAATTACATCGCCATTATGAAAACACTTTAGTCAGTATCGTACAGAAAAATAAACAGTTGTTAAATTATCTTTAAGAAAAATAATAAAAAGGAACCCAGAGACTCTAGACTTGCCAAACATTATAGACTTGCATGGGCTGTATTTGATATATTTGTATCAGGGTCTGTAAGACAGACTAAGTTAATAGGTATCGAAGCGAGTGCATCCTGGTTTAGTCTGGTGCATCAATAATGATCACGGTTTTGATGTCAACATGCACCAAGTGCCATCTATATCTAGCCCCTGAAAATGAGTGGTGACGGGCATCTGACACAGATTCAGTGTCTGAAATAACTGCCTACTCGCCTACTCCTGGTGGGTAACCTTTCTGTCAGGCTGCATGACATATTCCACACCTACCTGACTGCCTGGTAACTGGTTGATAATTTTAAGACTACTTACATATTCAGTTTTATTATAACTTCTTGTAGATAGTCAAGTAATTGTTTGCATTATTTCAACTGAATCAAGACGCGATTCTCTCTTATCTTTTTGCGATTTTTCAATATGTATAATGGGTGAATGCGAGCAGGTTTGTTTGTTTGTTGTTTAACGCCACACTCAGCAGCATTCCAGCTATATGATAGCGGTCTGTAAATAATAGAGTCTGGACTAGACAATCCAGTGATTGACGTCATGAGCATCAATCAACGCAATTGGGACCGATGACATGCATCAACCAAGTCAGCGAGCCTGACCACCTGATCCTGCTAGTCGCCTCTTATGACAAGCATAGTCGACTTTTACGGCAAGCATAGGTTGCTGTAGATCTATTCTAACCCGGATCTTCACTAACTCAGCAGGCAACACTTGTGGGGCACCTGCTTGACTGTCTTGTTAGGTTTTTAAAATATTTGAAAGACTGCACAGATTAAGTCACAACTATAAACACAGGACACTTTGTTCAGGGCGGCTGCCTGTGAAAACTCCATACAATGATGAGGGGAATTAACAAGGGGGATCAAGTGATTCTAGATATAAATACATGTTTTGGCTGCCTGATCATTAGCCTGTTGGATTAAATGTTCACTCAGAATGTCATCAGTCAGTCGCTATGACTGCATAGACAATGTGCTTGATGTAGTAACATTTTTAGTACAGCGGGTACAGGCATATTGTGAGATATTGACACTCCTGTGCCAACTGGTAAAAATGGTGCTTGAGATATATTGACTTTAAGTTTGGAATGCTGGAGTAGCCCAGTTGCTAATGTCCTTGATTCTAACAAGATGAGTCCAATTTGAAGCACATCACTGTCACATTTGTCCTCTGATGATGATGAGGGTTAGAAATTAATTTGTATCAGTTGCTAATGTCCTTGATTGTAACAAGATGAGTCCAATTTGAAGCACATCACTGTCACATTTGTCCTCTGATGATGATGAGGGTTAGAAATTAATTTGTATTCACAATAGTCCGCAAAAATGATCTGTCGCAGTGTTGCCTTCTACTTAATTGAAAAAAAGTGGTAGTCTACACACAATTAACTTAATGAAGCCGACTTATGTTAATTTCGAACCCTGCCGATTACCATACCAGTATGATACAAAACATGGCATCTCTTTGTTAATTTCATTCCGAAGCCCCTGTTGGGATCCCAGCATAGAACTGGTCCCGGATAACCTACACTTGTTGTAAGGGTCAACCAAAATGGCCAGAAGGTCAAGGCTGTTGGCTTGTTTGATTGTATATCATTGTACCCCAAAAGCTTGGAAAGTTGCTGAAAACATCAACCACTTTGCCCAACCCAAACTTGATTATTTACAGGCTGTGTGAAATACCATAGCTGGGATATTGCTAACTGAAGCTGAAAAATAATAATAACTCACTCTGAAACATGATGCGGGCGAGGCTATGTGACTAGGGCTGGGACGAGTCCAAATTTACTACCCGGGTACCCAACCCCCTATTACCCGACCCTACCCGGGTACCCACTGCAAGTCTCAAGAGTTGGGAACAAAATGTCTGATTGGTAATTGTTTTATCACAGCCATGGCTAAAACCATTTAGATACATGTATCAAACAATCAGATCATGCGTTCACTGAAGTTGACTGAAGCCTTATCTTTACTCAGACATATACAAGTCAAAAGGAATGTGTGCATCATCAGAAAGAAATGCGAACATTAGCAACTTGTAATGTAACCACTGAGCTATAGTGAGTTTTTGTCATTAAACAATATATCACGTGACTAACCACAGGTCCGGGTAGTCCTGTGAGTACCTGGATCCTACTCAGGACCCACCTGACCCAAGTACCCGAGTTACCCCTGTTGGGATCCCAGCATAGAACTCAGGTCCTGGATAACCTACACTTGTTGTAAGGGTCAAGGCAGTTGGTTTGTTTGATTGTATATCATTGTACCCCAAAAGCTTGGAAAGTTGCTGAAAACATCAACCACTTTGCCCAACCCAAACTTGATTATTTACAGGCTGTGTGATGTACAGTAGCTGGAATATTGCTGACTGAAGCTGAAAAATAATAATAAATGAAAAACTCGCACTGAAACATGATGAGGGCGAGGCTATGTGACACAAGGAATGATTGTTTGACACTCAAATAACAAATATATTCCACCTGTTTCAGGTATCCATGAGTCCAGCAAATACCAGCTGATGCCAGGAAGCGAGATGACGATGGATTCAGGAAAGTTTCGGAACAGCTCAGGCTGGATGGCGTTGATTGAGTGGATGTACGAGGGAGTGGACCACACGCTACCAGGCAATGGTGGGCGGGAGTGTGTGGAGTTTCTAGGAGTCTCACAACGGATAGTGGAGAGTTCTTGTGCCACCCTGTTTTCATTGTTTGTCATGTGGATTGCATATCCACGCCTGACTCTGCCAAAGATTTCCTATGATGAATTAAGGGACAATCAGATAGGGAAACGCCTTCTTCTAGTCATGATGTGTTTAACTTTCGGGATCGAACTTGGGTTCAAGTTCGCTACACGACAGTTTATATGGGTGTTTAATCCGTGTCATGTGGCAACAGTTATACAGGTAGGTCACTTCTTTTCTTTGCTTTGGGTTGTTCTGGTCAGGATGTTTTGACTGAACCCCCAAATGTGCCTTGCTTCCAAAGTGGAATCCCTTGACTGAACCCCCAAATGTGGCTTGCTTCCTAAGCGGAATCCCTTGACTGAACCCCCAAATGTGGCTTGCTTCCTAAGCGGAATCCCTTGACTAAACCCCAAAATGTGGCTTGCTTCCAAAGCGGAATCCCTTGACTGAACCCCCAAATGTGCCTTGCTTCCAAAGCGGAATCCCTTGACTGAACCCCCAAATGTGGCTTGCTTCCTAAGCGGAATCCCTTGACTAAACCCCCAAATGGGGCTTGCTTCCTAAGCAGAATCCCTTGACTGAACCCCCAAATGTGGCTTGCTTCCTAAGCGGAATCCCTTGACTAAACCCCCAAATGTGCCTTGCTTCCAAAGCAGAATCCGTTGACTGAACCCCCAAATGTGCCTTGCTTCCTAAGCGGAATCCCTTGACTGAACCCCCAAATGTGGCTTGCTTCCTAAGCGGAATCCCTTGACTACACCCCCAAATGTGGCTTGCTTCCTAAGCGGAATCCCTTGACTAAACCCCAAAATGTGGCTTGCTTCCTAAGCGTAATCCCTTGAGTGAACCCCCAAATGGGGCTTGCTTCCAAAGCTGAATCCCTTGACTAAACCCCCAATTGTGGCTTGCTTCCAAAGCTGAATCCCTTGACTGAACCCCCAAATGTGCCTTGCTTACAAAGAGGAATCCCTTGACTGAACCCCCAAATGTGGCTTGCTTCCTAAGCGGAATCCCTTGACTAAACCCCCAAATGTGGCTTGCTTCCAAAGCGGAATCCCTTGACTGAACCCCTAAATGTGCCTTGCTTCCTAAGCGGAATCCCTTGACTGAACCCCCAAATGTGCCTTGCTTCCAAAGCGGAATCCCTTGACTGAACCCCCAAATGTGGCTTGCTTCCTAAGCGGAATCCCTTGACTAAACCCCCAAATGGGGCTTGCTTCCTAAGCAGAATCCCTTGACTGAACCCCCAAATGTGGCTTGCTTCCTAAGCGGAATCCCTTGACTAAACCCCCAAATGTGCCTTGCTTCCAAAGCAGAATCCGTTGACTGAACCCCCAAATGTGCCTTGCTTCCTAAGCGGAATCCCTTGACTGAACCCCCAAATGTGGCTTGCTTCCTAAGCGAAATCCCTTGACTACACCCCCAAATGTGGCTTGCTTCCAAAGCGGAATCCCTTGACTGAACCCCTAAATGTGCCTTGCTTCCTAAGCGGAATCCCTTGACTAAACCCCCAAATGTGGCTTGCTTCCTAAGCGTAATCCCTTGAGTGAACCCCCAAATGGGGCTTGCTTCCAAAGCTGAATCCCTTGACTAAACCCCCAATTGTGGCTTGCTTCCAAAGCTGAATCCCTTGACTGAACCCCCAAATGTGCCTTGCTTACAAAGAGGAATCCCTTGACTGAACCCCCAAATGTGGCTTGCTTCCTAAGCGGAATCCCTTGACTAAACCCCCAAATGTGGCTTGCTTCCAAAGCGGAATCCCTTGACTGAACCCCTAAATGTGCCTTGCTTCCTAAGCGGAATCCCTTGACTAAACCCCCAAATGTGGCTTGCTTCCTAAGCGGAATCCCTTGACTAAACCCCCAAATGTGCCTTGCTTCCAAAGCGGAATCCCTTGACTAAACCCCCAAATGTGCCTTGCTTCCAAAGCGGAATCCCTTGACTAAACCCCCAAATGTGCCTTGCTTCCAAAGTGGAATCCCTTGACTAAACCCCCAAATGTGCCTTGCTTCCAAAGAGGAATCCCTTGACTAAACCCCCAAATGTGGCTTGCTTGCCTCTGTGGATTCCAAGGCAGTTTCCCTTGACTGATCTATGGATAATGACAAAAAGAAAGACAACTTTGATCAGCTATATGGTATGGTCCTGTATCTCAGACGAGTATACATCAGCTATCCTCTATTCATGGATCACTATCAAGGAAGTAAATGAGGCATCAAGTCATCTAAAGTGTGCAAAGTTGACAGGAAGTGACATGATAATCGCAGAATGTCTTGTACGCTCCAGGGATATACTGGTGCCATGTCTTGCTAATGTGTTTAATATTTTGTTTGATAAGTGTTCGTGTCCAACTTGGTGGTCAGTGGGACTAATTGTCCCTTTACATGAAAAGGGGGATCTCCATACGGATTCTAATTATAGAGGCATCACCGTGCTTAGTGTTGTCAGTAAATTATACATTTCAATTATTAAACTTGACAAAGTTTTTTGAGCGATGCTTATGATTGGGTTGTTGAGTCGCAGGCAGGGTTCCGTGCTGGTTATCAATATCAACAAGAATGACAGGTTGTATTAGATCTATTTATGCCGCTGTAAAGTCATGTGTTAAATATAATTATTCCTCTCTGAGATGTTTAAGTGTAATATTGGTGTACGCCAAGGTTGTGTCTTGAGCCCTTTTATATTTTCAATATTTATAAATGAACTGGCAGAAAAATAGAATTAACTTGTTATCCAGATATCCCACTACATCCAGAATTAACGCAACTATTTTTACTTGTGTTTGCTGATGATGTAACAGTTTTATCAGTTGTTACACTTGGACTGTATATAGTAGTAGTCTCACAATGAATGTAGGGAAATGCAAACAGAACAAACTCTGAAACACGCTGAAGACAAGTCGTAATTAATTTAAGAAAAACAGCTAAAAATTCCTAATTTAAAAGAGACATTTTTTCAAAGATGGATGATTTTTCTGAGGAATTGATCTTTCACATATCTTCCAATGAATTTGGTAGTGATTTTATTTTGCTTGTTTCAGATTTTTTTACTTGCGGCACCTCCAAGCAAAGTAGTGACAGCAATGTTTCGACTACACATGCATATGTTGACGGGGGCGCCTATAGCTGTCCTGTTTCCTGTTGTGAATACAAGATTGGTGAGTTGCTGCCATGTTTACTTGTGACCACAGAGAAACCAAGAGTAGTCTGTCTTGCAGACCCTGATACAAATCTATCAAATACAGCAGCCTATGCAAGTCTATAATGTTTGGCAAGTCTAGATTACTGCAGTATTATATTTTTATTACCATAATTTATGAACTGTTTTTTTTTCTGTACGATATAATCGTTTCAGAGTCTAGATGTTAGTATAGACCTAGAGCTACACTGCCATCTCGCCTGTACATTGAGTCAGGGTACTAGAATTGCAGGGAACAAGCTCCTGACTGTACATCTAGGACTAGCTTCTTTTACAGACCCAAGAATATATTTTAATGAAACAATCACCTGCATTTTATTCTCAAATCCTTCTCAGCTCTAACACTGGGTGAGATTTCGGGTAGTGAGTGATTGAGTGAGTGAGTGAGTGAGCGTGCGTGCGAGTGTGCGTGCGTGCGTGGGTGCGCGCACTATGTGCGTGCGTGCGCTTGACGCCACTTTCAACAGTATTCAAGCTATATGTCAGCTTACTGTGGGAGGAAAACTTGAAGTGATACAGATTTACACGTTTACCGCTTTGGTGAAATCCATGAGCACTGAAAGAACAGTGTTGACAAACCTTAAAACAAAATCAGGGCGAATCATAGGACTGACAGAGAACTTAGGTTTGTATAAACAATCAACTTAAGATCGATATTTTGACATTTTTTCCAAACATATTCTGACATTGTTGTCAGTATCAGAGCTAGATACCTCCCCTTATTGATTATGCCTGTATCACCTGCATTGTGTACATAGCCGGCTTCTCCACGCCAGTGTGACTACACCCCAGTCTACTCAACTGTATGAACACTTCCTCCTACCTGTATATATCCTTGTCAACCACGCTCTGTACATCACTTGCTTGATAACATCCTTACAACCTCCACCCGTGAAGATCCGGGGTAGAATAGGTCTTCAGCAACCCATGCTTGCCATAAATGGCCACTATGCTTGTCGTAAGAGGCGACTAACGGGATCGGGTGGTCAGGCTCGCTGACTTGGTTGATGCATGTCATCGTATCCCAATTGCATGGATCGCTGCTCATGATGTCAATCACTGGTTTGTCTGTTCCAGACTCGATTATTTACAGACCGCCGTCAGATAGCTGGAATATTGCTGAGTGCGGTGTTAAACAACAAACAAACAAAATGTTAGAACCTACATTGAAACATAGCTCCTAATTGAAATAAAGAAGTTGTTTGTCCATATATCTTATTCTTAAGAAACTTAAGAAACAAATTTGATCAAAATTTAGGGTCCTAAGCTTCTTTGGGACTTCATCCTCTGGAATAGGTTTTCAGCAACCCATGCTTGCCTATTAAGGCGACTATGTTTGTCATAAGAGGCGACTAATGGGATCAGGTGGTCAGGCTCACTGACTTGGTTGATGCCTGTCATCGATCCCAATTGTGTGGATCGATGCTCATGATGTCAATCACTGGTTTGCCTTCTTGGGGTTTCCTCCTCTGGTATTATTTTTGAGACCTTAAAGTTTTTAGTGACAAGTGACAAGACGAGTAAAATACTGTGCCTTATTCTGACCACTATGACAGTCCTACCTGGCTGATAGGGTACATCAAACAGACCTCCAGATAGGCTGTGTATTTGCATAAGATATAATAACCATAACCCAATTCATATTGAGCTAGTTGCAAATACACTTGAAATTTTGAAAACAACTATTGCATGAGAAATGTGAATAATTACCCTATATGACTGCAGATAAGCCGACCCCGTAGATAAGCCGAGGTATTAACTTGACCATTGAAATACGAAAGAAAATGATATGACCTGTAGATAGGCCAAACCAGAAAGTGAAAGGCAAAAAACACTGCGAAGTCAGACTGCAAGACATGTGCTGGTACTCGCAGATATTCAATAATATAACCTGAAAAACGTTGTAATTATATTGAAAAAGTAATTATTATTTCTAATAAAGATTTAACAAACCAGTCATCCACTCTCATAATGTGGGAAGCATCTCTTGTCTTTTTTAATCTCATAATGGTCGTTAAATGTTGTAAAGTTGTAATCTATCGGACCGTCATTCAGGCGATGTTTCTGACAGATCACGATCTAAAAAATACTGTCATGAAAGTGTATCCCGTGGATAAGCCGACCCCTTTCTACAGAATCTTTTTTCTGATCCTCAAAATTCGGCTTATCTGCGGACATATACGGTACCCAACACTGTCCAATGTGGACATTTCAGCTTGTGTACCTGCATGTCTTGACAGATCTTTGTTTGTTGATTGAATCAGGCATCACATATACAGGAACTGTACTTAGGGCTGAGACGAGTCCAAATTTACTACCCGCGTACCCATCCCCCTATTACCCACGTACCCATCCCCCTATTACCCGCGTACCCATCCCCCTGTTACTTGACCCTACCCGGGTACCCGCTGTAGGTCCCAAGAGATAGGTACAAAATGTCTTTGGGGGAATAGTTTGACTGTAGCCCAGGCAAAATGTATTTAGATGCACGTATAAAACGATCTGGTCATGCATACACTTAAGTTGACTGAAGTTCTATCTTTATTCAAGCTTATGATAGTCAGAAGGAATGTGTACATAGTCAGAAAGAAATGCGAACATAATTGACTTCTTGTGTAACCATAGAGTTCTAGATAATTTTTGCCATTAAACAAATATCATGTGAATAACCATGGGTCCAAGTAGTTGTGTGGATACCCTTGTCCTACTTAGTACCCACCCGACCCGAGTACACGAGTTATCCGTCCCAGCCCTAACTCTACTGCAGTGAATATTGCAAATAAGTGCTACGTTTCGCTTCTAGTAACTTAGACACATGTTGCTGTGATTACCGTATACAGTCAAATCCTGTGATCGATAATCGGACAACTACACGATAGATAACAATTCAAACAAGTAATAAAAAAATATCAAATAAATATTCATATTGCTATGTTACGTTGTCAGTGGAATATGTTTTCTAATCATGCAACCTCTGAAGTTTAACACTAAACAACTGTTACAGACTGTATGACTTATTCAAAATACTTTAAAAAGCATAGTCTGGAATGGAAGTCGCAAGTTTGAAACTGGTACCGCAAAGCTTAAGAAAGCTGCTTTCTAAGTGGCTAAAGTTGACTTTCTGTTGGGTCATTTCATTGGTAGGTCATAGTTCGCGAAAGGTAGTTCTGATGTGACCTGTAATGGAATGTCCTCGCCGATAGCGAGAACTTGTATCTGATTTTAATGAGATTGAGGTAATCTAAGCATGTGATTAATCCTGTTTTCTTTATTTAAAGCATTAATTGTTTATTGTTAAGCAAGTTTATCTCTGCAGCTGTTGTAATATGCAGCTACCAGCCGACTCATCTCGCATCAAAACATGGGCTGTGTACTCGCAGGCAGATGACCATGGAGTACGCTGATCACTGTGTCGGATTAACGAGACTGATTAGAGTGATTTTGGTATTTCGTTGCAAATTAGGTCTGAGTCGGAGTGCGAGCCTGTCAGATTAATAGGTCTAAATAGCACTGATTAAATCGGTTCCCATCATCAGTGTCGGATAAAGCTGATTGACCATTTAACGAGATTTGACTGTATTGCTGTGTATAAGGCAAGTTTTTCGTACCTAGAATTAGGGGACTTTCATTGTTACCATCATGTCACAATCAAATGACATCACTAAAGGCTCTGCTACTGAAGCTGTGAGCAGTACTTTTTACACTTAAGACACTGCTTATTACTGTCTACAAACTGAAAAAGTTGGAAGAATGATGTTGGATGAAAAATAAAATCTCACCCTTGTCCCTTTTGATATTAAATATATCAACACTTGTTGATATATTTGATATCAAAAGTCACAGACCACCTCCGTGGTCTAGTGGTAGAGCCACCGCCCGGAGAGCGGAAGGTCCGGGGTTTGATCCCCGGCCGCGTCATACCAAAAGACGTTAAAAGATGGTACCTGTTATTACCCTGTCTGGCGCTTGGCATTAAGGGGCTAAAACAAGGACTGGTCGGCTCGGAGTCAGTATACTGTGTCTGAGTGGGGTATCCATGTTAAATTGCGGCATGGTATCTCAGTGTGCTAGCACTATAAATCGGCATCAGTCCGGACTAGTACAACCTGCCACACACATACACACGTGCATGCACGTCGCTATATAAGTGCAATAATCTTGGATGCGACGTTAAACCCCATTTCACCTCACCTCACCTCAAAAGTCACAAGGGTGAGATTCTCTGTGTCCCTGCATCCCAGCATCTGCAACATCACACTCACTCACTCACTCACTCACTCACTCACTCACTCACTCACTCACTCACTCACTCACTCACTCACTCACTCACTCACTCACTCACTCACTCACTCACTCACTCACTCACTCACTCACTCACTCACTCACTCACTCACTCACTCACTCACTCACTCACTCACTCACTCACTCACTCACTCACTCACTCACTCACTCACTCACTCACTCACTCACTCACTCACTCACTCACTCACTCACTCACTCACTCACTCACTCACTCACTCACTCACTCACTCACTCACTCACTCACTCACTCACTCACTCACTCACTCACTCACTCACTCACTCACTCACTCACTCACTCACTCACTCACTCACTCACTCACTCACTCACTCACTCACTCACTCACTCACTCACTCACTCACTCACTCACTCACTCACTCACTCACTCACTCACTCACTCACTCACTCACTCACTCACTCACTCACTCACTCACTCACTCACTCACTCACTCACTCACTCACTCACTGCTGGATGTGCCAGTTCCCCATGTGGGGTTTGTTGCCAGACCATCAGGGCATGTATACCTGGTGGTAACTGCCTCCAGATGTACTTGAGGCAAGACAGCCCTGCCAGCTCCACACTCCAGCTACATGCTGCTGTAAATAAACACTCCGTAGGGATTTACAACGTTGTGGCATGTAGGATCAGGGAGAGTACCGTATTTCATGTAATTAGTGGCTGGTGGTTTGTGTAAAGGTAATTATGCTGATCAGGTGGTCACAATGAATAAACACTCCATAGGGATTTACAAAGTTGTGCATGTAGGGTCAGGGAGAGTACCGTATTTCATGTAATTAGTGGCTGGCGGTTTGTGTAAAGGTAATTATGCGGATCAGGTGGTCACAATGAATAAACACACCATAGGGATTTACTAAGTTGTGTAAAGGTAATTAATGTGATCAACAATGAATAAACACTCCATAGGGATTTACAACGTTGTGCATGTAGGTTCAGGGAGAGTACCGTATTTCATGTAATTAGTGGCTGGCGGTTTGTGTAAAGGTAATTATGGTGATCCGGTGGTCACAATGAATAAACACACCATGGAGACTTACAAAGTTGTGTGGATAATTAGTGGATAACAACTTCTATATTATACTGTCATTGTGACATTTCGGTATGGATCCTTATACCGTTGTCACGCGAGACTGACTAATAAACATGGTACAGAATTATGTATAATGGAAAGTGCTGTGTAATAAAAACTATTGCATACATGAGAGGGATTAACAGGACTAGGTTAACTCATAACAACAGCAGGAAAATATATTACCAACATGATAGAGAACACGATCAGGCAGCCAATTACCTGGAAGCCAATTAAACCAGATTAAGCTGTTAGCTGGGATGTTTGGGAAAACTAGTGCTTGATGAGTTCATGGTAGGCGGATGGGATGAAATGGCCTAGATCTCTGTTGATAGAAGGCTTGTGGCGGCCAATCTGGACTCGGTGGTCATTAGTCAGTCTTGACAATGGTATCAGGATCTATACCGAAACGTTGCAATAACAGTATAATAAATAAGGTGTTATCCATAAAACATTCTTGTCTACTACTATGTATAAAAGGGAATTCCTAAAGAATCTCTAGTAAAACATCTTCAAACTGATCAGGGGCGGTTGGGTAGCCTAGTGGTTAAAGCGTTCGCTCGTCACGCCGAAAAACTGGGTTTCATTCCCCACATGGGTACAATGTGTGAAGCCCATTTCTGGTGTCCCCCGACGTGATATTGCTGGAATATTGCTAAAAGTGGCATAAAACCATACTCACTCACTCACTCCATAAGAGGTTTATATGAAAAGACAAGTTCTGTCCAAAACAATGGCCGATATCCATGATAGGTTGATATGACTGGTCTATGCAAAGAATGTTCTACTAAGCATTTCATCATCATTTGAAAATCCTCCTTATTATTCTTTGAGCAGGACACAGAGCATGGGGTCTTGTGTCAGACAAGGAAGTGAAGGAAATGTTGACTCTATGAGAAACAGGTTGTATACAGGCACGTGTGACATGTATACAGGAAGATAGCGTCTACACGACATCTGGCTGTAGTGTTAGGTTCGGGACTACCGTGTGTTCAGGCCACATGGCAAGGAAGGGAAAGATAATGGTGCTTTTCACGATAAATTCTTGAGATTTCATTAGGTTGCTATCTCTGAAAGAAAATCTTGATGGAAGAAAGGCCAGATGGTTCTGTATTTTAGATCCCTTATCAAGGAAGTAACCACTTCCTGCTTTGCCAAGCGTTTATGATAACATACAGCATTGTTGATCAGGCTTTTCGGTCAGTTGGGGTGGCCTAGTGGTTAAAGCGTTCCCGACATGGGGACAATGTGTGAAGCCCATTTCTGGTGTCCCCCGCCGTGATATTGCTGGAATATTGCTAAAAGCGACGAAAAACCAAACTCATTCACTCACTCACTCACTCTCGGTCAGTTGGATTCAACAGATTCTTTCCTAATGTTTCAAGGTAGTGTAGGTGGCCTTGTGGGTAAAGCATGTACTCATCAAACTTAGGACCAAGGTTTGATTCCCCACATGGGTACAATGTGTAAAGCCCATTTTTGGTGTCCCCAGCCATGATATGCTTGGTCTATTGCCCAAAGTGGCAGCAAACCTAAACCCACTCACTCACTGTTTCCTTGAGTGAGTGAGTGAGTGAGTATGGTTTTATGCCTTTTTTAGCAATATTTCAGCAATATCACGCCGGGGGACACCAGAAATGGGTTGCACACATTGAACCAATGTGGGGAATCCCACCTGTGCCTTCGGTGTGACAACCAAACACTTTCACCACTAAGCTACCCCACCACCCCCTACAGTTTCAATAAATATGTGAAATCTCTACAGATGCAAGACGAAGTTTTCACACAATATGTTTTGAGTTCTGCAACATATTCTACTCCAAAAAAGTTAAGGACTTTCCGATTGGTTCGTATTACTGTCATTAATCTGTCATGGCATGACATATGAAAGAACCGAATGGTCCTTAACTTTTTATGAGTAGTATATACAGGTGCGTAGATCAATGCTCATGATATTAATCATTGGATTGTCTGGTCCAGACTCGATTATTTACAGACCGCCGTCATATAGCTGGAACATTGCTGAGTGCGGCGTTAAACAACAAAACATCCAACCAACAACCTTAGCTTTTTATGAGTAGAATATATGGGTAAGCAAATGTTTTATCTGGCCTTAGCCTTGGGTGTTAACAATGGGGATATCAAAACACTGACAGCAAATACTGAAAACTGGCTACATTAGGAGATACTGCTATAAAGATATTGCATCACAATGCTTTGCAGACCATTGTGACATCATCGGTTATCATGACATCACAATGACATCACTAATCTCTTTGCCACTGAAGCAGGTTAGCTGTACTCTTTAGACTCAAGGCACTGGGTCTCATTGCACAAAGAGATCTTTGGGCTAGGATGATCGTAACTCCCATACTTTAACATAGACTTACGACAGTCGTAGCGCTACGATCACTTTGTGGACCCTGTTTATTACTTTTTACAAAACTGAAAAAGTTAGAAGACTGATTTTGGATGATAAGTGGTATCTCATCCTTGTTTCTTTTGGTATGAAATATATCCACACTCATCAGTGCAAGATGAAAAAAACTTGTAATTACCTGTGTTGATTTATTTGATATCAAAAGACACTCAGGTGAGATTCTCAAAATAGTATGCATTATCAGTTAATAATTATCTGTAAGAAAAAAACAGGTACAGAAGGTGAAAAGACTTATTTAGTTAATTATGTACAGTGCTGTTATACTACTGGGGTTTGTGTTTATAATTTCTTGTGTAATTGCATGCGCATGCTGCAAGCAAATTAAAGTTATTTGGGTAATGGCGATTTGTGTATTTGATGCATCCTTCTGGAGTGAGTGAGTGAGTGAGTATGGTTTTACGCCGCTTTTAGCAATATTCCTGCAATATCACAGCGGGGGACACCAGAAGTGGGCTTCACACATTGTACCCATGTCGGGAATGGAACCCAGGTCTTCGGCGTGACGAGCTAACGCTTTAACCACTAGGCTACCCGACCACCCGCATCCTTCTGGAGCACTGCATTTATGACAATACAAACACCGTGGACATTGTTTGTAATAGTATACTACTTCGAAAAAAAGCAACTATGCTTGTCGTTAGAGGCGACTAACGGGATGGGGTGGTCAGGCTTGCTGACTTGGTTTATTCATGTCATCTTATCCCAATTGCATTGATCGATGCGCATGATATCACTCACTGAATTGTCTGGTCCAGACCACCGTCATATAGCTGGAATATTCCTGCGTGCAGGGTTAAACAACAAACAAACAAACTTCGAATACCACAGACTAGCAATAAGTTAAGACCAAAGAGATCCATTAAGATCCACGGTAGAATAGGTCTTCAGCAACCTATGCTTGCTGTAAAAGGCAACTAACGGGATAGGGTGGTCAGACTCACTCACTTGGTTGATGCATGTCATCGTATCTCAATTGCGTTGATCGATGCTCAGTATGTCAATCACTGAGTTGTCTGGTCCAGACTCAAGTATTACAGACCGCCGTCATATAGCTGGAATGTTGCTGAGTGCGGGGTTAAACAACAAACAAACGAGCTTCGAATACCACAGACTAGGTTAAGACCAAAGACCAAAATAGTATATACTCATTCCTGGTTCTATGGAAACTTTCCATGACTCTCATCAACATGACGACATTGCAAACCTAAGTGTCACCCAACAAAATGAATTTGCCTCCGGTATGTCAGATAAGTTGCGTTTTCACTAACATGTATTTATGTCTACAATGGAGATTCCATTTATTTTCAGGTAAAAATATGATGTCTACAGAGTTGTCTTTTTACATGAATTGTGCTTCCCTGATGAGTTAACAGTTGTCAGATGCTGAACTTGCGAAACTTGCTAAACCTGTTTATAGCTAAAATGGATAGAATTATCATTAAACCGCCTGCACGTTATCAGAAATGAGCGGGCCACTGTAACCTGATAATGCCCTCATATTGCTTGACGACGGGCCATTATCAAGCCCGCTGTTAGGTGACGTCATAGGGTTGAGAAAATGACGTCATGTATTATAGTGACGTCATCTGGTTTGTTCTATGACGTTTCCATATTTGTAAAATGTGGTCAGTGACATTCGTGTTGATTGCAGTAGATGTTTCAAAACCGATGTTGTTGTTTCTTTTTATTTGATAACAAATTCCATCCATTTTAGCTATAATAACGGTAACGCTATTTTTCAGGGCATTATCATTTGCAGAAGCCCTCGGTCTTTTCAACTGCCCTCCTTTGTCGGGCAGTTAATGGAAGACCTCGGGCTTCTGCAAATGATAATGCCCTGAAAAATAGTGTTACCCTTCCATTAGTTTCCAACTAATGGGCTTCATGCTTTGTTTCAGTTGCCCATGGAGACAGAGGTTTACTACATACAGCATATCCTGATGCTTGTCATACCATTTTACCTCTTGAAGACTGGAGGTAGGGTGTTTATCATAGCAAGGTTCTTCATTGTGAACGTTGTGTGATGCTATTGTTAGAGTAAGACTGGTGTGACTAGCGTGTACAGTGTGTCAATATATGTGTCGTGTAGTTTGGTCTAAAAACATAGATCTGAGTCCCACTGTACCCTTCAACCGCCCAGGTGGTGTCAGCTTAGAGTATAATGTGTTTGAGTGGTTACTCCATTTCATCCTATCACATTTAATGTATTGATAGAGGTGTCATTTGACTATGGCCATGTATGTTGTTGGTTGTTGTTGGTTTGTTGTTTAACGCCGCACTCAGCAATATTCCAGCTATATGACGGCGGTCTGTAAATAATCGTGTCTGGACCAGACAATCCAGTGATTGATATCATGAGCATCGATCCACCCAGTTGGGATCAATGACATGCATCAACCAAGTCAGCGAGCCTGACCACCCGATCCCGTTAGTCGACTTTTACGACAAGCATAGTCACCTTTTACGGCAAGCACAGGTTGCTGAAGACCTATTCTACCCCGGAATCTTCACGGGTAGCCATGTATGTATGAATGTGTAGGGATACTGTGGTAACACACCAGAATTCACCAAAATTATAAATGTCTACGACCTGGTTCTCTCTGGACTTACCTCCCCCAATCTGATCAATGACCTCTGATAAGACTAATAAGCTGTGTGGCCAATCTGTGGAGACTGTACCCGTGAAGATCCGGGTTAGAATAAGTCTTCAGCAACCCATGCTTGCCGTAAAGGCGACTATGATTGTCATAAGAGGTGACTAACTGGATCGGGTAGTCAGGCTCGCTGACTTGGTTGATGCATGTCATCATATCCCAATTTCATGGATCAATGCTCATGATGTCAATCACTGGTTTGTCTGGTCCGACTGGATTATTTACAGACGGATGTCATGTAGCTGGAATATTCCTGAGTGAGCGTTAAACGACAAACCAACAACCTTTTTATTGCAACAAACTGTGGGGACTCAGGTTATGTTAGGTCTGCTTCAACCTATGCTGGACCGCCTCCGTGGTCTAGTGGTAGAACGTCTGCCCGGAGACCGCCTCCGTGGTCTAGTGGTAGAGCGTCCCCCAGGAGAGCGGAAGGTCAGGGGTTTGATCCCCGGCCGCGTCATACCAAATGACGTAAAGAGATGGTACTTGTTGTTACCCTGTCTGGCGCTCGGCATTAAGGGGCTAAAACAAGGACTGGTCGGCTCGGAGTCAGTATACTGTGTCTGAGTGGGGTATTCATGTTAAACTGCGGCATGGTATCTCAGTGAGCTGGCACTATAAATCTGCATCAGTCCGGACTAGTACAAGTAGCCACACACACACACACATGCATGCATGCATGTCGCTATATAAGTGCAATAATCTTGGACGCGACATTAAACCCAATTTCACCTCACCTCAACCGATGCTTGTTGTAAGAGGCAACTAACTGGATCAGCTAGTCAGATGGTGACTTTGTTGATAGCATGTCATCATAGCCTGTCGTTGTAGGTCATCACCGTAACATTGATCTCTGGACTTATTTGTTAACAGGCTGCCATTATGTAGCAGGGCTCGGTTTAGCTATATGAAACATACACAAGTGCAACCAATTATTGAAACATGCAACCCAATATTTATGTCTACATGCACCAAGTGCAGATCAAGTGTTTTCAAGTTTGTCACTGACTCACCCTTACTTGTCCACACAAAATCAATCTTTGTACACACTTAGTAATTCTAAAGTTTATTTACCAAACTACAACCCTAATCCCTGTGATACGTGTAATTTGTCATGCTTTCTTGGGCTTGACAACATCAAACTGTGGGTACTTCAAGATTATGTGCACATGTTCCTGTTACATTTTACGGCAATACTTAATTAATATATGATCTTTGAATACACTGAATACCTCTTAGCTTCATCTACCATCCTACATCCCTAATCCCTGTGATACGTGTATTTTGTCATGTTTTCTTGGGCTTGACAACATCAAACTGTGGGTACTTCAAGATTATGTGCACATGTTCCTGTTATGTTTTACTGCAATCATTTATGTGACATGCTTGTAGACTGGCCTATGTTTCAACTGTGATAAGTGTATGGAACCAGCAGGGATTATCCTGAAATTTTTTACCTATGAGAGAAAAGAGATTTGTTGGATTTTGCTAATTTTCAGAGATATTTCGTCTTCACACAGTGGAAACTGTATTTGATTTTTGGTACTTGTGACTCGAATAATGTTGCAATTAATGCTACAAGATTATATGGATGTATCCTCGGATATCCTATTTTCGAACATTAATTATTCCACTGCGATTATTTAAAAATATGAGCAATAGTATTAACAAAACATTACATTAGTTCTTATATTTCTGTTGATTGTCTATTGTAGGAGAAATTATACTAATATTGATGTATTTCCGTTCATTGTGGACTTGATGGGGAATTATTTGCGAGGACAATTATAGATCATTTAAGAGGCATGTTTACAACCATCAGCTATTCATTTCGTTGGCCTGCGGGAGACAACAATCTGCAGTTATCAAATTTCGACAATGTGTTTAGATCGTAACTTGATATATTCAAAATGATGAAAAGAAATAGCGATAGTTTGTTGGCAAAAAATACATTACTTACATTCCAGCGCTTTCATCAATTTCGCTGTCTTATTTTCGTCTGTGGTGTGTACCGTATCAGAGACCGTATCAAATTAAATCTTATCAATATGGACTTTTCGATTGATTAGAAGTGACAGTTTAGTATACGACGACTATTGCTCCAGGTTCACCTTTTGAACAATTAAGTCATTTATTTTCCGCAGAAGGTGGCGTGTTTGCATGTGCAGCAGCCAGAAATGTTACCGAAAGTTGAAAAGACTGTTGACATTCAAGATGTTTATGAATTACATTTGAAAGATTAAGTCACAGTTTTCAAGTTTGATGGACAGCTCTGGAAGCAAACGTATCGTAGTATATTCTAAAAAAATCTAAATCCAACTTGCGTTTTGGCCACGAGAAATAGTTCAAAATTTGCAATTCACGCTCAGTGACCATTCTTGTATGAGTGAGTGAGTGAGTATGGTTTTACGCCGCTTTTAGCAATATTCCAGCAATATCACGGCTGGGGACACCAGAAATGGGCTTCACACATTGTACCCATGTCGGGAATCGAACCCGGGTCTTCGGCGTGACGAGCAAACGCTTTAACCACTAGGCTACCCGACCGCCCCATTCTTGTATGAGGGACTGTTCATGAAAACTCAGTGCCATCTTATCTAAAGGCTAGGCAAATCTCATCTAAAATACAATCATTTGTGATCTGAAATTTGTATGTTTTTATGGAGAAAGAGTTGCAGGTATATTCATTTAGTTTTTGTTTTGTTGTCATTCCAAAAGCGAAATTTGCTCGTGTTTTGAAACTTTACTCGTGATTGCCTTTTTTTTCTCTTGATTTCTGCTCAAATGCACATACATGTACGTCTTTGATTTCTGCTAGGATTTAAGTTTTTTTTAAAATGTTTAATCGGTTATGCACAGTAACAGATAGCATGCAGTGTTGCGAGTATGCAAATCACTGTTTTGATTGACAACTATTGACGAATGGATAAACTACCGTGTAAGTTTATTATTGACATTTTTAGATCAGTAGATAATTTTATTCAAGCAATACTACATTTTCGATTTTTGTAGATGAAAATGAGAGTGTCAATGTAGATAAAACTATTGAAAGATGTATGCGATTTTCAATCGCGCTGATTGAATGTTGAAGCAATATCTACGACAACTATGCAGGATATCGTTGAATTGCAGCCTAAGTCAATCCCTTGACCAGGGTGCAAACTGGTTTTGCCTTGTGCAACTAGATTTTCATGTCAACATGCACCAGGTGCAGGTTAAATCAAGTTTCTTAACTCCAGCCCTGTGTAAGTGGAATATTTTTAATGCTTCAAACAACAACCAAACTTACTTTATTACCCATAGGGTTAGAAATATAATGGAGTTCATAAAAGTCATTGTGCAGTAGTGGAAATATCACTTCTTGCACACCAGCGTATTGTTTCCGTCCTCTGCACGGCAGTTGACATCATTCCAATTTCATTGTGACATTAGGATGGAATGATGTCACACTAGAAACGACATCATAGCTGAAGATTTTTGACGTCTTTTCGACAAATTGTGTTTTTCTAGGACAGCGGTGGTGATCAGTGTATTTTTTGTAAAGGGGCGCTCTAAAGAATTACGAAATAACGGGTAATAAAGAAATTATAACACTCACATGTATGTATGTCATACTGGTTTTACGAGACTCGTGTAAGAATTTAGCATTACACTCGCTCTCGCTCGGGAAATACAAGAATTCTGACATTTGTTTTGTGAAACCAGTATGACACACATGCTTGTGTAATAATCCCTATGCATAATATTGCAGGGTGCCGTTGTACAAAGCGATCTTAGCGCTAAGGTGGTTGTAACTCCCATACCTTAACATAGACTTACGATAGCCGTAGCTCAATCTCATTAAAATCAGACCTTAGTTCTCGCTACCGCTAAACAAAGATCTGAAGACATCCCATTGGGATCACGTCAGACCGACCTTTCATCCGACCAATCAGAGCGTTGCTTACCAGATCATGAAAGGTACAGTCGGAATGTGATTTCTAATCATACAACCTAGAAAACTTTAACATGGGGTATTCCGAACGATAGTTACAGGTTTAACGACTGAATCAATACAATCTGGACCATCTATTAACCATTCCGGAATGTTCTTTTGTTTAGGTTTCAAATTTGTAATCGAGAATTTGTCAAAATATGTTGCGAAGCGTATACACCAATTTGAAATTAGTGCCGTAAAGCATGAGAAAGCTGCCTTCTGATTGGTCATTCCATTGGTCGGTCAAAGTTCGCGCAAGGTCGGTCTGACGTGACCCGTAATGGGATGTCCTCAGTTCTTTGTTAAGCGGCAGCGAGAACTAAGATCTGATTTTAATGAGATTGGCCGTAGCTCTACGGTTGTTTTGTACGATGGCTCCATGACTATTTGTACGATGTTGCCTCCGTCCCCTGTGTTGACATGTTCCGTGTTGTTGTTTCAGGAGCATACATTCCAGAGAACATCCTGGACTTCACGTGGGGCTTCATGTCCCTGGGCATCCTCTACATCTACCACTTTGTGCCCCTCCAGCTCCTGGCTTATGTGAGTATCTCATTCTGTTGTGTGTGACCCAGGAGTCCTTTGTGAGTCCTTCAGGGGTCAGTTGTGGGTGTCTCCTTCAGGGGGGGTCAGTTGTGGGTGTCTCCTTCAGGGGTCAGTTGTGAGTATCAGGGGGGTCAGTTGTGAGTATCTTCTTCAGGGGTCAGTTGTAAGTAACACGGGGTCAGTTGTGAGTATCTTCTTCAGGGGTCAGTTGTGAGTAACACGGGGGTCAGTTGTGAGTAACACGGGGTCAGTTGTGAGTAACACAGGGTCAGTTGTGAGTATCTTCTTCAGGGGTCAGTTGTGAGTATCTTCTTCAGGGGTCAGTTGTGAGTATCTTCTTCAGGGGTCAGTTGTTAGTAACACGGGGGTCAGTTGTGAGTAACACGGGGTCAGTTGTGAGTATCTTCTTCAGGGGTCAGTTGTGAGTAACACGGGGTAAGTTGTGAGTATCTTCTTCAGGGGTCAGTTGTGAGTATCTTCTTCAGGGGTCAGTTGTGAGTATCTTCTTCAGGGGTCAGTTGTGAGTATCTTCTTCAGGGGTCAGTTGTGAGTAACACGGGGTAAGTTGTGAGTATCTTCTTCAGGGGTCAGTTGTGAGTAACACGGGGGTCAGTTGTGAGTAACACGGGGTCAGTTGTGAGTATCTTCTTCAGGGGTCAGTTTTGAGTATCTTCTTCAGGGGTCAGTTGTGAGTATCTTCTTCAGGGGTCAGTTGTGAGTATCTTCTTCAGGGGTCAGTTGTGAGTAACACGGGGTCAGTTGTGAGTATCTTCTTCAGGGGTCAGTTGTGAGTAACACGGGGGTCAGTTGTGAGTAACACGGGGTCAGTTGTGAGTATCTTCTTCAGGGGTCAGTTGTGAGTAACACGGGGTCAGTTGTGAGTATCTTCTTCAGGGGTCAGTTGTGAGTAACACGGGGTCAGTTGTGAGTATCTTCTTCAGGGGTCAGTTGTGAGTAACACGGGGTTAGTTGTGAGTATCTTCTTCAGGGCTCAGTTGTTGCTGTCTCCTTCAGGGGTCATCTGTGAGTAACATCGTCAAGGCTCTGTTGTACGATTCGGGAAGTGATTTTGCATTTGGATTATATTTTGTTCAAGTAAGATAGCAAATTTGCATCACTTTTGTCCTGATTTATCAACAAATCATATGAAAAAAACAGGTAATCTCAAATCAAGCGAGATCATCCAGTACCAAGAAGATGATGATGATGATATAGTGACTGACTAATCATTGACTCGTTCACTCATCCCATTGTTTATGATGATGCTCTATATAAAAACAATGCAGTTTGAAACCTGTGAAGATCGGGGATTGAATAGGTCTTCAGCCCACCCATACTTGTCATAAAAGGCGACTATGCTTGTCGTAAGAGGCAACTAACAGGATCAGCTGGTCAGGCTCGCTGACTTGGATGATGCATATCATCGTATCCCAATTGCGTGGATCGATACTCATGATGTCAATCACTGCATTGTCTTGGTCAAGACTTGATTAGTTACAGACTGCCGTCATGTAGCTGCAATATTGCTGACTGGGCAATAAACAGCAAACAAATGTTTAAATCTGTAACGTTTCTATGACCAGGACCCCTGGACTTTCAGGCTTCATTCCAAACACGACAGCCTCCGTGGTCTAGTGGTAGAGCGTCCGCCCGGAGACCGCCTCCGTGGTCTAGTGGTAGAACGTCCGCCCGGAAGACCGTCTCCGTGGTCTAGTGGTAGAGCGTCTGCCCGGAAACCGCCTCCGTGGTCTAGTGGTAGAACGTCTGCCTGGAGAGCAGACGGTCCAGGGTTTGATCCCCGACCGCGTCATACCAAAAGACGTTAAAAGATGGTACTTGTTGTTACCCTGTCATTAAGGGGCTAAAACAAGGACTGGTTGGCTCGGAGTCAGTATACTGTGTCTGAGTGGGGTATTCATGTTTAGCTGCGGCATGGTATCTCAGTGAGCTAGCACTATAAATCGGCATCAGTCTGGACTAGTACAAGCAGCCACACAAACACACACACGTACATGCACGTCGCTATATAAGTGCAATAATCTTGGACGCAACGTTAAACCCCATTTCACCTCACCTCACCTCATTCCAAACACTGCACTAAACAAACACAGCATTAAACAACAAACAAACAATGCATTGTGAAAAACTCATTCGACTGTGTGTATATTGTTCCAGTTTTCCACAGTCAACCTGAACAACATGCTCTGTCCTGCTGTGTCCGACCCCTTCCACGGACCCTATTACCGGCTGTGTGCTCTCACCCACCAGACAATCCTCATACCATGCCTCGGAAAAGTTTATGTTGTAATCGCCAATCATCTACCCGTGTGGCGAGCACAGTCAAAAGAACATATACAGGAAGTTAGCTGCTGGGAAAGGAGCAACACCAAGTATCTTCACCAAAGTAATCATCCAAGGGGAGATCACCCTTTCCCAAGGGAAGATAACTCTGACCAACAGCGATTGAATGGACATGTTAAGACATCATGAACATGTGTTTTTGCATTTATGTTGTCCTGTTTACATTTGTTTTACAATCATCACTTGTAATTTTAATGTGATTAATATATTTAACATCATATCTTGCTCACTTTTAATGTGTTGATAGTTCATGTAGTTTATCTTGTTAAAGAATTGAGCGATTACATTTTTTTTCCCATCCTCATGCATAGTTGAACATTTTATGATTTTTTTTGTAGCATAGTTCAGTCTTGGAATTCTGATAATTGATTCTATTTAATTTGGTATGGATACTTAATTGTTTGACACTTAAAATGAAGAAGAATATAGGCTAAAATTGTATAATTATTTATGAATTATTCGTCATTATCCAGTAATTTTTCAGATCTGAAACATACAATCCAAGCCATAATTTGAACTTGTCCTATGTCTGAAACTGATGCGGGGCGGTTGGGTAGCCTAGTTGTTAAAGCGATAGCTCGTCATGCCGAAGACCCGGGTTCGATTCCTAACAGTGGTAAAATGTGTGAAGCCCATTTCTGGTGTCCCCCGCCGTGATATTGCTGGAATATTGCTGGAATATTGCTAAAAGCGGTGAAAACCATACTCACTCACTCACTCACTCACTGAAACTGATGCCTTGGTATTGAAATGAGGCAATGTATCAGAATAGATGAATCTCCTGTCATTTCCCAAAGCTTGACAGGTTACAGTGAGCTAGGTTGGCTGGCTACTTGGATTAGCTTCTCTCAGAGAGGGGGGGCACGTGTGGCCCAGTCGTCTAAGGGGCCGCGATTCGCTGTGCAGAGTTGCGTCCTTTGGGCATGCCAGAAACCTATGATTGTGGGTTCGAATCCCGGTTCGCCCCGATTATGTTTCTAGGTTTTTCAGCACCATACCCGTGCACATGGGTTTCACCGAAGTGGTAAACGTCTGAGACCTGCATCACTTTGGGCTTTCCCCCCACATTAAGCTGACACGCCGCGATATAACTGGAATACTGTTAAAAGCGGCGTTAAACCCAACTCATTCTCTCACTCACTCAGATCTTTTTAAGCTGTAGTGAGGAATAAGATCTGATTATGATGAGATTGTCTGAGAGAAGCACTTCACGGGAATGACACAGCTAGTTTACAAGGCATTAGATGTGGTGAGTTCAGGACATGAACTCAAAAGCTTTACTAGCCCGGATAAAGGTAAAATGCGTTTGTAATGTTAAAACGATGGGTAAATTGGAAATTTGTACTAGCCTACAGGCATTTGTACTAGCCACGAGCTAGCGGGCTGGTGTTAAATTCTAACCCTGGAATATGGTCCTCTGGCCCATTTCCGGAAGAGCTTGGCTCTTCACAGTTTGTACATCGTATAGTTACTATACTGAACAAAATAAGTCAAGGATCGTGCAATATTTTCACTTCACTACAGAAACAATTCCTTCAAACTATACATGATCCCCAACATTTTTTGTTCAGTATATATTGACATATAACCAAGATAAGAAAGGGAATCATTGTTTACAAGTCTTCTCTAATCTAGTAGTTTCCATAGTTTGGAGTGATGGTTTAAGCAGAAACCAAAATGATTTTCTTCAAGCAACAGTTTCAGAAAGGTTGCTATCATTACTTCAAGATGGTAGTCTTTCAAATTATTTGTTGAAAAATGTTTTGTCTGAGTTCCTTTGCATTTTCGATTTGGTGTTGCAGTTCCATAAGTAAGACTGAAACGAGTTAATATCCAGTTTGGTAAAGGCAGATATTTCTTTTAGATTCAAACTGACATGAAATGTCCAGATTATATCGTTCCTTGGTTTTGTTGGTATTCTTCTCACATTGAATTTTTCATCCTCAAGACTTACATTTTCCTTATCATGATCAATAACTAGTTCCCATTATTATTCAGATTATTTGTTGGGTACATGTATTAACATTGAGGACATTCAATATTTGTGACACGAGTAATGAAACCCTGCTTTCAGTTTCCATGCACATGTGATGGTCGTTCCAAATTGTTTGGGGCGGTCGGGTAGCCTAGTGGTAAAAGCGTTTGCTCGTCACGCCGAAGACCCGGGTTCGATTCCCGACATGGGTACAATGTGTGAAGCCCATTTCTGGTGTCCCCTGCCGTGATATTGCTGGAATATTGCTAAAAACGGCATAAAACCTTACTCACTCACTCACTCCAAATTGTTGACCAGTGGCAACCATAATTGGGGTAATAGTGCCAGCCTCGTATGAAGAGCGTCCTGTTAACAGTGAACCTATTTTGACATTATGTTGCTATTCAAACTGGTTCTCACTGTGTTTCCCGGGTTTAATCTTCTGGGGTTTAAAAAAATATGAATTGTCTCATGTTCATCCTTATTTCAAAAAGCAATCTTAGCGCTAAGACAATCATAACTCCCGAACTTGATAATGACCTGGTGTCCCCTGCTGAGATATTGCTGGAATATTGCTAAAAGCGGCGTAAAAACGCACACTAACAATGACCTGTGACCGCTAGGATGATAATTACTCCCTTAAGGGACTGCTAAGATGATTATGTCACATAAACTACAACTAAGATGATTGTCATATACACGACAGCTAATATGAGTATCATAACAACCATAAATGACCTATAAGTTGATTATATCACATACACAACATTTAAGATGATTATGTCACATAAATTACAACTAAGATGATTGTCATATACACGACAGCTAATATGATATTCATAACAACCATAAATGACCTATAAGTTGATTATATCACATACACAACATTTAAGATGATTGTCACATAAACTACAACTAAGATGATTGTCATATACACGACAGCTAATATGATTATCATAACAACCATAAATGACCTATAAGTTGATTATATCACATACACAACATTTAAGATGATTGTCACATAAACTACAACTAAGATGATTGTCATATACACGACAGCTAATATGATTATCATAACAACCATAAATGACCTATAAGTTGAGTTTATCACATACACAACATTTAAGATGATTGTCACATAAACAACCGCTAAGATGACCACACATAAAGGCCGCTAAGATGATTGTACACATTAACGACTGCTAAGATGATTGTACACATTAACGACTGCTAAGATGATTGTACACATTAACGATTGCTAAGATGATATATAAGTCACATAAGTAACCGCTAAGATCATTATAACTCCCATAAACCGTAGTGCTAAGATCACTTGGGAGCTAGTTTTCTAGGCCTCATCAATGATAGCTCCTCAATCGTTTGTCACAGCCAGACAGCCAATTACGCGTTTCCTCGAGCAAATTCAGGGTTGAGTGAGCGATTGTTGTATTTTGCCACTGTCAGCAAAATTGTCATTTTATCACAATGGCCTATAAGTAGTACAGTCTTGACCAGACAAACCAGTGGTTGATATTACGAGTAATGATGCAGAACACAATCAGTCCGAGTACACATTGTGGCCACATAACGACACAGTGGTCAAAATTAGACATTTGATTTAAAGAGCCTTGCCTTATCCTGAATGTAAAAAGTTTGATATTTAGTTGGTCCTAGATTAATATACTGAAGGGGGCACAGCTGACCCAGTCATCTAAGGCTCTGCAATTCGCCATGCAGAGTTGTGTCCCTTGGGCACGTCAGGAACCAATGATTGTGGGTTTGAATCCTGGTTTGGCGCCATTATGTTTCTATAGTCACTCCCCAAAGTACTAAAGCGGTAAGCTTGAAGGACCTCTGGAGAACCACCTTAATGCCCAACGGGGACACAGGTGGCCCAGTCATCTAAGGTGCCACAATTCGCTGTGCAGAGTTTCGTCCCTTGGACGCGCCCTAATTTTGTTTCTATGTTTGACAGCACCATACCCATGCTTGTGGGTTTCACCGAAGTGGTAAACGTCTGACACCTGCATCACTTCGGGCTTTCCTCCCACATTAAGCTGACATGCCGCGATATAACTTGAATACTGTTAAAAGCGGTGTTAAAGCCAACTCACTCACTCACTTAATGTCCAACATGACAATGACACACTGACCACATTCCATTTCTGCATGAGATACAGAGGACCTATTAGTTCATGAGATACAGAAAACGTGTTAGTGTAACGCGGTCAGTTTGTCCCATACTGACACCTTTCTCATATGCAAGACATTTATTGGAGACCATGTTCATGAAGACCTTGTTCAACCTTACATGTGCATTATTATACCCCAGTACACTTGTTTTGTTCTATTAACAGGGCATTTTCTACAAGAGGTGCTTAAAGGTAGAGGGGACATGGTTATGAAAATTTTGTAAAGCACTGTACTCTTCCTTCAGTAGGGAGTGGGATTTGTGATCAAGGCAGTTCTAGTCAGTTTGATCCAAGCAGATAGAGATAAGCATAGATGTGTTCACCATCAACATATTGGGCAGGTTAAAATCAAAATGACCACGCATTGGTAGTCATTTTTTACATAATTACATCTTTTTGATGCTGAGAAAATATTACTTTTAGGATTGTGAAAATTGTCAATTAAATTGATTTCAAAGAAATTGCTATGGTGGATAAACAGTAAATGGTGCATCAGGTTCGTGTAGTTGCATTTATTGTAATCAGACAATGTATGACATCAACTTGTGACAATCTTCATTCAACATGTCTTGTGATACGATTTATTTGGTATCCTTTTTTCCACATTTTTAGCTCACCTGACTGAAAGTCAAGTGACATTATGTCATGGCCTCGACGTCAGTCGCCCTACCTCTGCATCATCTGAACACATCCTCTCGGAATCTGCTGGTCCAATGAAACAAAATTTTGGCATGCATGTTCCCACCAATGATAGGTCTGCAACTGTTTCGAAAACCTATTTATGATCATATTTGGGCATCTTTTTTTGAATTTTATGAATTTTAATGTAAGTGTGTGTTTTGGCAAAAGTTTAACCTTGATTTTGCCTTCACACTCTCAAAAACGCATTCTGGAGTCTGTCAAAATCTTCTGTAAAACTGCTGGACTGACAAAGCTGACATGTCACATCTAATGATGACATAGTTAGTTCACAGATCTTTTTGATTTGATTATATTTTGGCTCAATTATAGAGAAAAATCAAATTTAATAAAATGTCTAAAAATGATACTCACAAAGTCTACAATACTTCAAAAGCTGAAACTTTGTGTCAAGTTTGTTGAAGTCCTCACTGCAGAGGATGCTTGTGAAACAAGAACAATGCGAACATCAACTTGTGATAAGGGACTCTCCTTTTGGACATTTTAGGAACTGTTGACGTATCACGGTGAGCTTCAGGGCCAGGGCACTGGGCTTTTTTGTTTTGTTTTCATCATAAGAAGAATTGCTATATTTCACTGGTTATCACAATAGACTTGCTCTCAACACCCATTTGTAAGATACTGGTGTTTGTTAAACTGGTGTTAGTACAGATATTTACATGTGCAATATGTAGGAATATTTATGTTGTACAACAGTGTATTGAGGAAAGGAATAAGTTTTCATGGTTACATTGTTTGTTTACATGCATTGAGATTAAATCTGTATTAAATGAGAATAAAGCATTCCCATCCTCTTCAGTCCAGGTTCGCTTTAAGTGTTTCACGTTCCTACCTCGAAATCGGGAGATTTCTATCAGTTTATAGATTTTAACTTCTTTTATTCTTTTAATTCACCATTTTGGTACAGATGCTATTTTATGAACCATTGATTGTTTGTTGTTTAACACAGCACTCAGCAATATTCCAGCTATATGACTGCGGTCTGTAAATAAGTGAGTCTGGACCAGAGAATCCAGTGATTGACATCATGAGCATCGATCCATGCAATTGGGATACGATGACATGCATCAACCAAGTCGGCAAGGCTGACCCCCTGATCCCATTAGTCACCTCATACGACAAGCATATTCACCCCTTACAGCAAGCATGGGTTCTTCACCATGTTCACCGGATCTTCACAGCTACTAAATGCCACCAACAGATTAATAACAGAAACTGTCGTACCCAAGCCAGCAGACATATATCAGCAGAGGCCATCATAATCAGGAGGCAGCAGATGCCATCATAATCAGAAGGCAGCAGATGCGATCATAATTAGGAGGGAGTAGACATATATGAGCAGACTCCTTCATAATCAGGAGGCAGCAGACACCATCATAATCAGGAGGGAGTAGACATATATAAGCAGACTCCTTCATAATCAGGAGGCAGCAGACGCCATCATAATCAGGAGGCAGCAGACGCCATCATAATTATGAGGGAGTAGACATATATGAGCAGACTCCTTCATAATCAGGAGGCAGCAAATGCCATCATAATCAGGAGGCAGCAAACGCCATCATAATCAGGAGGCAGCAGACGCCATCATAATCAGGAGGGAGTAGACATATATCAGCAGACTCCTTCATAATCAGGAGGCAGCAAATGCCATCATAATCAGGAGGCAGCAGACACCATCATAATCAGGAGGCAGCGGACACCATCATAATCAGGAGGCAGCAGACTCCTTCATAATCAGGAGGCAGCAGACGCCATCATAATTAGGAGGGAGTAGACATATATCAGCAGACACCATCATAATTAGGAGGCAGCAGACACCATCATAATCAGGAGGCAGCAGACGCCATCATAATTAGGAGGGAGTAGACATATATCAGCAGACGCCATCATAATCAGGAGGCAGCAGACACCATCATAATCAGGAGCCAGAAGACATATTTGGCTGAAAATCCCGAGTTTGATTCCACACATGGGTACAATTTTCAGAATCTTTATGTGCTTCGCCAGGTCCCAATGAAATTGCCAATATGGCATGTCTTCAGAAAATGAATTGTCTACTGGTGAGCCAGAATAAGTTGAGTCGTGACCTGACAATTAACCCCATATGATGATGAATTAGGCCCACTGGCACCTTCCATTGTGAAGAAAGGGGTAGCAGGTGGTCTGCAACAAATAGTACAATGGATATGTAAGTGTCCTGTCTGGGCTAACAAGTTCACGTGGCAAGTTCAATAGCACATAATAGTACATGCTGATGTGAGGAACTTGATGACTGAAAATGGCGAAGGCTAAAATGCTACCTTTGACGTCCCATTGAGTAAAATTGAGAAGTATCGTGACAATGAAGGGCATTCATTTGCTGTAATAATGGAATACCACTTTTACCCCACAGAGCAATTATGAATAGTGTCATGTCCTTCATCAAATGATTGTGAAGGTTGAGACCTTAACATAGTGAAAGTTGACAATATCCTTCCATTTACTCCATCTAAATGCCATATGTTTTTTACACAACCTAAAGCTTTCTCCAGAACCCTCATAATTCAGTTGGTTGTAGGTTGTTTTGTTGTTTAACGCCGCACTCCACAATATGACGGCGGTCTGTAAATAATCGAGTCTGGTCCAAACAATCCAGTGATTAATATCATGATCGATCCACACAATTCGGATCGATGACATGCATCAACCAAGTCAGCGAGCCTGACCACCCGATCCCGTCAGTTGCCTCTTACAACAACCATAGTCGCCTTTTATGACAAGCATGGATTGCTGAAGACCTATTCTACCCCGGGTCTTCACGGGTCTCATAATTCAGATCAGCTTTGATCATGTCACAGATATTGTCTAGAGTTGGTAGTTGTTTTTTCAAGTTGGGATTTGATCACCGGACACATACTTGGGCTGATGAAACAACTCTCACAATTGTCACGAGCGATACCTTCGGCTCTTGAGGCGCTTAAGCATAGACACACAGACAGACCAGTGGCAATGCCAACTTTTGACAGTGCTTGAGATATATTTGTACATACTTTCTCCATGTAATTTATGACATCCTAGGCCAATTCTCGAGCATGAGAATTATGATTTGGCCATGCATACCTAGCTTGTTTATTTGTTAATAAGTAACTTCTATTGAACAACTTTTTGAGAATTCTAGTATTGACTTGTGGTACCGATCTCTGAGCAACAGGTAACATAGTCAACTTCATGGTCATGACCTGCACGTGCACAACATGTGACACCCCCTCTATCTATTGTTATATGTTTGCCCTCATTCTGTGCACAGCCTACTGGTCTCAAACGTGTTTTGTGAGTTGATTCAACTTATCCTGGATTACCAGTAATAGTTAAGTGGTGTAAACCTTTGATGGAACTTTCAACTCTGGAACAAACAGACTTAAATTTGTCACGTTCCAAATGCACAGTGATCTGATTGCCATGACTTTCATTACTCCAACAGAGCATGCAAGATGACTTCCAATACAAATGCAGCATGAACCTCACAATCGACACCACAGAGTTAAATCGTAACCATCTGCAAGGTTCTAAACCCTTGAATAACCAGACAAACTACCAACACACATGGTAAACAGCACGGATATCCATTTATTTGACAAAAGAGAACACTTCTGGCCCAAGATGTTATACAAATATCATGGACTTTAACTAACATAGATCCAAACTCAGGTGGATAATTTCTGTGAATTCGCCTAGGGTGTCCTAGCTGTTCAACATAACATATTTAGGTTGGTTTGTTGGTTTGTTGTTTAACGCCACACTCACACAATTGGGATCGATGACATGTATCAACCAAGTCAGCGAGCCTGACTACCCGATCCCGTTCGTCGCCTTTTACGACAAGCAGAGTTACGGCAAGCATGGGTTGCTGAAGACCTATTCTACCCCGGAAACATATTTAGGACATATATTATTTGTCCTTGCTTACATATCCATAATGATTATCCATGTTGTTCCCCTGGTCCCTTACACCATGGCCATGTTAAAGTATGGGAGTTAAGATCATCTTAGCGCTAAGATCGCTTTGTGCAAGTGGGCCCAGGGATCTGTCCAACATGAAATCTTACTGCTGTCATCGCCGCATGTTTATGTAATAGTTTGAGAGTTACAGCAGTAATTGCGTTAACATAGTTTTATGACAGAATGCCTGGTGTTGGTGAATGGTTTGTTTGTTTGTTTCTTAACGCCGCACTCCGCAATATTCCAGCTATATAACGGTGGTATGTAAATAATCACATTTTTTTATGTCGAACTCAGCAATATTCCAGCTACATGGCTGTGGTATGTAAATAATCAAATCTGGACCACACAATCCAGTGATTGACATCATGAGCATCAAACTACGCAATTGGGATACGATGACATGCATCACCAAGTCAGTGAGCCTGACCACTCGATCCCGTTAGTCAATGGTTATGATGATGGTGATGATGATGATGATCTGACACTCATACACAAGGACAGGTATCAACAGGCTATGTAATAACAGTATTTTCAGATTCCCAATGTCAGTCTCCTCCATGTGACCCCTCATGTCTTTGGGTGTCCGGCAACCGTCACCTTGTTGACCCTCACAACGCTTCTCCCTCCAGTTTCTTCTTCCTCATGGCACTCAGCTTCTGCAACCACCGCTGCATCTTTTCCACGGAATCTCCATGCAACTGAACGATAACAAACACAACATGGAATATCTCATTCATGTTAAGAACTAGGGCTGGGACAAGTGCAAATTCATTACCTGGGTACCCAAACCCCTGTTACCCAACCCTACCCTAGGTGCTGTAGATCTCAAGAGTTGGATACAAACTGTCTGATTGGGAAATGTTTTATTGGAAACCTGGCAAAATCTATTTAGATACACGTATCAACAGATTTGATTATGACACTGAAGTCAGAATGAAATGTGAACATCAGTGACTTGTAGTGTAACCAACTTGTAGTGTAACCATGCAGTTTATTGTTATTGTCAACCAAAAATATATCACATGACTATCCACAGATTCGGGTAGTCCTGTGGGTACCCGGGTTCTACTCGGGACCCCTCCCAAACTGTTGCCCTTCCCAACCCAAGCTACCCATCCCAGCCCCATTATGAACATGGTAACATTTTTTCAGTTCACACAGATTTTAGTGAGTTTGTGAGTTGGGTTTAACACAACTTTGAACAGTATTACAGTTATATCATGGCCGATCCCGTTAGTCACTTTTAACAGCAAGCATGGGTTTCTGAAAACCTATTCTACTTAATGTCTACGAATTCACTTAATGTCATTTAATGATATAACTAAATAAAAAGGAAACCACATACATTAGGATGAGCATATGAGTCTGGCTCAATGTAAACTGGTTTGACAGGATCCAGCTTAATGTTGACTTTCCCTGACCCAAACATGGCCTGTTCGTGTGTAGTGTAGCCATCATCTGCAGGCTCCGTCTGTGAAAGGGAGAAGTTTGGAATGAGGATTTTTATGAGATTTTCAACCTTGATATTTCCTTCTTAGCCTAGGCCAGTGTAATATCTTGCTATACAAATCTTCTTGTCAGTATTCCATTAGCACCATGAGGAAGGAGGCCAATATATTTATTTAAGTTGTTGTTGGGGTTGATTTGAAAAATTTAATTTTCAAAAACAAATCTTGAAATGTTTTTTTGTAATGATCATGATGATGTGTCATGTATATATTTACTCAAATACACTATTATTCTTTATTAATTTTAAACTTTTGCCAACATTTTGATGGGCTTATAGTTTCATAATCAGTATAAACATCAGACACCAACCTTTATCTTATCCCCCCTGTTAGACTTGAACACTGCTGGTTTGAATTTGTCTGCCTCGATGTTGGCAACAGCTTTGTTGAAGCTGATCGTGTCCTCCACCCCTGATTCCTGCAGCTGTTCCCGGATCTTCTCATCAGCTGCAGCTGTGGGGTGGATCACATGGCATTGGTTACAGCTGTGGATCATATAGCATTGGTTACAACTGTGGATCATATAGCATTGGTTACAACTGTGGATCATATAGCATTGGTTACAGCTGTGGATCATACGGCATTGGTTACAGCTGTGGGGTGGATCATATAGCATTGGTTACAGCTGTGGATCATACAGCATTAGTTACAACTGTGGATCATATAGAATTGGTTACAGCTGTGGATCATATAGCATTGGTTACAGCTGTGGATCATATAGCATTGGTTACAGCTGTGGATCATATAGCATTGGTTACAGCTGTGGGGTGGATCATATAGCATTGGTTACAGCTGTGGATCATACAGCATTGGTTACAACTGTGGATCATATAGCATTGGTTACAGCTGTGGATCATATAGCATTGGTTACAGCTGTGGATCATACAGCATTGGTTACAGCTGTGGGGTGGATCATATAGCATTGGTTACAACTGTGGATCATATAGCATTGGTTACAGCTGTGGATCATATAGCATCGGTTACAACTGTGGATCATATAGCATTGGTTACAGCTGTGGATCATACAGCATTGGTTACAACTGTGGATCATATAGCATTGGTTACAGCTATGGATCATATAGCATTGGTTACAGCTGTGGATCATATAGCATTGGTTACAGCTGTGGATCATATAGCATTGGTTACAGCTGTGGATCATACAGCATTGGTTACAACTGTGGATCATATAGCACTGGTTACAACTGTAGATCATATAGCATTGGTTACAGCTGTGGATCATATAGCATTGGTTACAACTGTGGATCATATAGCATTGGTTACAGCTGTGGATCATATAGCATTGGTTACAGCTGTGGGGTGGATCATATAGCACTGGTTACAGCTGTGGATCATATAGCATCGGTTACAGCTGTGGATCATATAGCATCGGTTACGGCTGTGGGTCAAATAGCATTGGTTACAGCTGTGGGTCACATGGCAATTAGGTAAATAATTGAGTATGGACCAGACAATCCAGTGATTGACATCTTGAGCATCAACCTACACAATTGGGATATGATGACATGCATCAACCAGTGAGTCTGACCACCCGACAATCATATTTCTGTCTAATCCGGACTGCTGTCTAAACTGGCCTTAATCGCAATCCACAATAGTTTGATTTTAGCAATTTGTGTAATTGAATTTGACTTGATATAAAACTATGGTATCTAATGGAGGTAAGCTACACTGGATAATTCAGTCTGCTACTGAACATGTTTTACATATCTTGATACAATGAGTCAGGCTGATATATTAACATGAGGTGAGGTGAGGTGAAATGGGGTTTAACGTCGCATCCAAGATTATTGCACTTATATAGCTACGTGCATGCACGTGTGTGTGTATGTGTGTGGCTGCTTGTACTAGTCCAGACTGATGCCGATTTTAGTGCTTGCCCACTGAGATACCATGCCGCAGTTTGACATGAACACCCCACTCAGACACAGTATACTGACTCCGAGCCGACCAGTCCTTGTTTTAGCCCCTTAATGCCGAGTGACAGACAGGGTAACAACAAGTACCATCTTTTAACGTCTTTTGGTATGACGCGGCCGGGATCGAACACCTGACCTTCCATCCTCCGGTCCTAAATTAACATGAAGACATGCCTACCTGCGGCCTTCAGTGCCAGTCTCATTCTGGCACTAGCTTGTTCTCCTGGTGTCTGTGGGGAAGAAAAACAAGACAAGGATTTCTCACACCAGGAAGGAGGATTACAGTTTGATTTTTTGGCATACACGGATAAGAGTGGCAGCCCGTGTGTCAGTGATTAGTAGTTCCATCGAACAAAAATATTTCCAGTGTAAATGTATCTTAGAAAATATTTGCTTGTAAAAACTGTTTCCTGGGAATAATTATCCTTCAGAAAATTAGTACAATGGAACAATTTCACTTCAGGAACAGACACAATTTGACACATGAACCCCACCCATTTTGAAGCATATATTTTTTTACAACAAATGAGGAAATATTTGGGTAAATCTGTACTGCAGAAAGTTATATGTTTTATTGTTTTATTCAAGTTGAAACTTCTATTAGGAGTGATCTGTCAATGATAAGTAAACAAAAATGGAAATTTGTTGACGAAAGAGACATACTACAGCAGTTTACAAAGAAAACTGATCTGAGCAAGATTGCGCAGACAGTTGTAAGGGAGACAACCCACAATTAATAACGCATTTCATGTCACGGCAAATAGGCCTTCCTGTGTGCATGTAATCACTAACCATATCATCAAATCCAGGTATTTGTTCTCGAATATCTGCCTGGATGCTGCAAAACATAAAATGTTTCTGAAAAGTGTTTGTTGAACAAGTTGAAAGGAAGAAATGGGTAATTTAGGTTTGGTGGAAGGTGAAATAGGGTTTAACAAGATTATTGCACTTAATAGTGAGTGAGAGAATATGGTTTTACGCCGCTTTTAGCAATATTCCAGCAATATCACGGCGGGGGACACTAGAAATGGGCTTCACACATTGTACCCATGTCGGGAATCGAACCCGGGTCTTTGACGTGACAAGCGAACGCTTTAACCACTAGGCTACCCGACCGCCCCTGCACTTAATAGCGACGTACGTGCATGTGCACTTGTACTTGTCCGGACCAATGCCGGTTTTATAGTGCCAACCCACTGAAATACCATGCTGCAGTTTCATAGGAATAGCCCACTTAGACACAATATACTGACTCTGTACCAACCGGTCCTTGTTTTAGCAACTTAATGCCGAGCACCAGGCAGGGTAACAACAAGTACCATCTTTTAACATTGTTTTTGACATTGTGTTTTTTAAACAATCGACCTTCCTTTCTCAGTACGAACACTCTATCAACTAGACCACTGATGCAGTATAACTTATAGAGAACATGGTAGAGGTCATAACATTGGTGTTTTGACTCCCCACATGTGCATGTTGTGTGAAGTAGTGATGCTAAAATGAGATAAAACTCATCTCACACCAAGTCAGCGAGTCTGACCACCTGATCCTGTTAGTCGCCTCATACTACAAGCATGGACTGCTGAAGTCCAGTTCTATTCCGGGAGCAGGAAGTATGACAGTGGTACATCGATACTGTATATTATTCCCAGAAGCTGATAGTGATCAGGTCAGTCAGATACTCACTCTTTGGGAGCTGGGCTCTCTCTGCGGGATCTGTTTTTCTTCTTTTCTGGACTTCTGTAACCATGGTAACATATTATAAGGTTTTACAATAACATCACTACTCTTCACAAAGGGGGCTTTATGCCATAAAAAGCAAATTACTGTCACCATGGTTATTGTTGAGACAAATCTACGAAGTGCCCATCTGGAGCCATTGCTTACTATAACCTTGACACAATCGCCTTTTCTTCTATCTTTAACTTAGGGATTATACATTTATTATGGGTGTGTGTGTGGGGATGGGGGTTGAGATTGGTCATATGATGTAGCCCCCACCCCCTCTCCATAATAAATGTCCAGTCAATAAATAATGCATATATTCATAATTTTTCATTTGCAAAATAGAAGCGTTAATTTTTCAAGGGCCCCACCCTCATAGTTGTCACAAATTCTGATGACCCCTAGCTCTTTCACTGGAGTACTTCTTTTAAAAAATGATGGCCTTGTTGAAATGATCCCCTGATAGATTTACAGTAAAGGAGTCCTGGAGGGCTGTCATATTCATACAGTCAAGTCTCGTTCATCCGACACTCGTTAATTCGACAATCGGCTTTATCCGACACAAATGATGGGAACTGATTAAATCAATGCTATTAAGACCCGTTAATCCGACAGTCTCGCACTCCGACTCCGACACACCTTATTTGCAACAAATTACCGAAATCACTCATTAATCAGTCCCGTTAATCTGACACAGTGATCAGCGTACTCCTTGGTCATCTGCCCGCGAGTACACAGCCCGTGTTTTGATGCGAGACGGGTCGGCTCGTAGCTGCATATTACAAAGCTGATAAACTTTGCTTAACAATAAACAATTAATGCTTTAAATAAAGGAAACAGGATAAAGCACATGCCTAGATAACATCTATCTCATTAAAATCAGATACAAGTTCTCGCTATAGCCGAGGACACGCCAGAAGAACCTTTCGCGAACTATGACCGACGAACGTTGGTACGACTTAATTTCGTTTATCCGACATACTCATTTATCCGACATACTCATATGCAGACAGCCATGTCGGATTAACGGGACTTGACTGTAATGAGTAACCAGGCCAGGGGAGGGAAGTCTTCATTCTACCAGGCATTTCCAGTATCTGAGTGAGTGAGTGAGTTTGGTTTAACGCCGCTTTTAACAGTATTCCAGTTATATCGCGCATGTTGGCTTAATGTGGGAGGAAAGCCCAAAGTTATGCAGGTCTCAGGCATTTACCACTTCGATTAAACCCACGAGCACTGGTCTGGTGTTGACAAACCTAGAAACATAATCAGGGCAGACCGGGATTCAAACCCACAATCATTGGTTTCTGGCGTGCCAAAATCTGGCACAGCAAATTGCGGCGCCTTAGACGATTGGGCCACCCGTGCCCCCAGTTGTATCTGAGACACACACAACATGACGCACAAGTAGTAGTGAAATCGCCACGAGTTACAATCATTAATGAACAGAACCATTTGTTTCAACAGCTATCATTGCTATTCTTAAGTACTGAGTCATTTGACATGATTTGAGCCCAGACTCAAATATCCTTGACCCATAATACACTTGATATTCCAGAATGGACAAAATCGAGATTTTGGGGGTTACAATGTATAACCTTGCTGTTGACGTTTTTGCATCTGATCCATATCCAACCACTCATGATAAAACAACATTCACTTACTCCATAAAAAAATCTCGTCAAGCCCATCTAGACAAATGTTTCATTCAATTGCAGAAACATACACCTCCTCACTCGAACATTCTGAGAAAAAATGTCTCCGACAAACCTTGATCTTCTTCCTCTACTCCTTGACCTTGATCGACGACTTCTACCTCGTGAATCTGACCTTGACCTCCGACCTCTACTTCTTGAATCAGACCTAGACCTCCGAGCTCTGCTTCTAGAGTTTGACCTGGATCTTCTCCTAGTATGCCTGTCTCTACTTCTTGACCTGTATCTGTCTCGGTTTCTTTCCAGACTCCTTGACCTTGACCTAGATTAAAAAGAATATAGAAGATTTTGGAATTGTTTCATTGTGCTATCAAGTGGAAACATACAGGAAGAACCCCCCCTCTAAAGGAAAGTCATACTTTAGCAACAAAATAGAACAAAAGCCATTAAAGAGACGGGGGGTCTGATGCAATTCGAAAATGGAGTTTTACTTATACCGTATTCGACGTAATAAGCGCCCCGCTCTAATAAGCGCCCACAGCGATATTTGCTAATACATTGGCTAGTGAACAATCCCAATCAGCACCCCTTCCGATTGATCCATGTACACAAGACTTATTTATTTGTAAATAATACACACTCGTGTGTTATATCACCCTTAATTATGGGCAATTAAATTCTTGAAAAATATATCTGTCGTATGTAAACATTTCAGGCTGTTAGCATAAACCACGAAATTTACGATCTTTCAACTCAAAATAATATTCTAATAAGCGCCCCCTATTTCTAATTTTGAGAGCGCCCTGGGCGCTTATTACGTTGAATACGGTACCCACTTTTGGTTCATTGCCATGGGATACCTTCAGTTCAGTGAAGAAAAAAATAAAGTTATTCAGTATTTTTCAATAGCCCAAATTATTAAAAGCCAACGGTTCACCACTAGATTGATCTGCAAAGCAAGTTTAATCAAGAAATATTCAACGGTTTTGGAGTTCTGCTCCGGAAACAAGCACCCTCATTGTCATCAATGAAAATAATAACAAATATATATACATAAAAGTTCAAAATCATCAAAAGGCACCAGTTCATCACTAGACTGATCTGTATAGCATGTTTCAATAAGCAATATTCAACAGGTTTAGGAGTTCAGCTCCGAAAACGGAAAACGAACGGTGAACAGACAATAGACGGACAGATGGACATGCTGATTGCTATATCTCCACGTTTTTTAAACATATAACAAAAACTCAAAGGCTTCAAATATTTTTTTGAGCCGTGCAGAGTATTGCGATGCGATGCACTGAATGTTTGGTGAATTGTTACCTTCCAATGACCCTGAAACAAATATATCTAAAAAGCCTATGCAAGTCTATAAAAGTCGGCAAGTCTAGATTACTGCAGTATCAGGTACAGAGTCTCTGGGCTTCTTTTTACAATATTTTATCAAGAAAACATAACTGTTTTTCTGTAAAACTTTTTTTTTCGGAGACTTGATGTTAGTCCTAGTACTAACTAACCTGTGTCTTTCTCTGCTCCTTGACCTCCGACCCCTACTTCTTGACCTTGACCTTCGCAAAGGGCGATCCCTTGAGCGACTACGAGATCTTTTTTTGTGCTTCGTCTTCTTTGACTTTTTATGCTTACTGGAGTACCTGCTGCTTCCACTGCTAGCTGATCTGTAGAGCAAACAGTTAATGATGGACATAACAGTCTTTGTTTAATCAAAGATAAAGCGACATAAAAACACAAACTGCATAAATTCGCAAAGAGTACTTGCCATGAAACACCTTCGGTTGTGCATGTACCATTATCATTGGAACAGCCTTTAAAATTCATGCTCATCCACTACCCTAAGACTACAAAATTGTCCTGAGGACAAGTACAAATCCAATGATAGTAGTCCTCATTGACTAAAGACCGTTAAATATTTAAACAAATTTCTAAGGCAGTGGGTCTGACTAACATCCAGGGGTGGAAATGTGGAAAAGTCGTCTATGTTAAAAAAAAGTAAAATGACAATTCATGTCATGGTTGTGTTGGCCATCCTTTTATTCTCTACTATCAAATTGGCACACTCGTCTAAGACGCTATTAGAGTTTCGTCCCTTGTACACGCCAGAAACCTATGATCATGGGTTTGAATCCCTGTTCACTCCGATTATGTTTCCAAGTTTTTCAGCACCCTACTCATGCTTGTGGGTTTCACCGAAGTGGTTAACACAGAGACCTGCATCACTTCGCAGTTCCTCCAGCATCAAGCTGACACGCAGTGATATAACTGGAATACTGTTCAAAGTGGTGTTAAAACCAAACTCACTCACTCAGTCTACTGCCCATATACCCCAGTCATAAATGACCAGTCCCCGTAAACCAATCACAAAACAGTTCTGACATTTTATCCCTGGCTTCAGTGTTTCAAAATTTCTCTTCCATTTGAATTTTATAAAATCAAGACTGATTGATCTCTTGCGGCCTGTTTTTATATTGATGCTGGCCTGATACTATCCCCCGGTAGACACAAGTCTTTAATGTTATTTTCTTGGTTGCCAAATACATTATTTCAGGAGACATCACAATTTCACATTGGGCAAACATAAAAAAATAACCTGCTTAACATTATTTCAGATTAATGTTACAAGTAAATCAAATAACATTGTTACCAATGAAAACAGATTTTAACTTCTTTGATTATTTCAATGCTGTCACAAATCAACTGTCTTCATTGTTACTACAACTACATACCCGTGAAGATCTGGGGTAGAGAACAGGTCTTCAGCAATCAATGCTTGCAGTAAAAAATAACTATGCTTGTCGTAAGAGGCTACTAATCAGTCGCAGACGTAACGTGTACACGAGACGGCTCTGCTACTCAGTGAAGCGCTTGATACTAATTAATTCAATCGCCGTGGCTGTGGTAATAGCAGGCTAAGTACCCACCTGACCTGAGTACCCAAGTTACCTGCCCCAGCCCTAATCCCTAATGTCCGTATATATGACTATGACGTAGCCACTATAGACATCTTTATGATAAACTGCGTTGTCAGACATGAATTTGGCTGCATTAGCATGATTAGTTGCCAAATTCTGACACAGAAGGGTGAATAGCAACAACATTTAGTATCTACAACATGATGATGTACTGAACCTTGATCTGGACCTTGACTTTCTCCTCTTCTTTTTCTTGGATTTCTTCAGATCATAATCATCATCGCTATCAGAATAACGTCCCATCTTCGCCACAAAGTACCTGCTGAATATACAACAGAATGACCATGAACGTGACCAACTTAAGTGGTACCAAAGTATTGTACTTCCCTTGTACTTTACACATATTGATTTCATACGAAATGTGAAATGGCATGAATACAATTTGAATTTCAATATTGATTTTAAGAAAGTGTTTTTCTTGAAAATGTACAAAATTCCAAATTGGTTATTGCAGGGTATGAAACTCCCAAAACTTTCAGCACAGGACTGGCTACCTGAAATACTTGCCAGCCCTGACCAAAACCCACCTGCCCACTATAATCATATGTTTCTCAGGATAAGCTTACAGGGTTTCTTTTTGGTTACATTTTATCATTCATCTTTACATGTGAATTAATGCTTATCATCGGGAAATATTTAGAATATTTTCACATATGAAATATAACCCGACCGTCGGGCAGGGGAATTTGAAAATCTGGCAGCCCGAGTTGAAATCAACCTGTCTCGGACGGTCGGGCAGGCAGGCAGGTATTTCGAACACTGGCTATTGGGGTGAAAGTCAAATGGTCATGGAAAGAGAAAACATATATAAACAGAGACAGAAAAACAAGTTTTCAGTTGTCTATAGAGTCCTGTGCTTTTTTGCATAGTTATTTTGAGTAACCATTAACCTCAAGTTAATATTTTGTGTCTCGGTCCTCTGTTATAATACATCATATCATCCAAGGCTTCGTTACAAAGGTTTGAGCAAGAGAACTGGGCCACAGTGACACACACAAGATAACCAGAGATATGGATGGGTCGTATCGTATGCCCCCGTCTCCAGTTGTTATTGTCTGGTTTATTTCAATTTTACGATTAAAACACGTTGTAAACGTGTGTGGTTCAATAAAACATTTCCAGGCGGCCTGGGGTTCCTCTTTTCAATCGTTCCGCATGTTTCACTGTTATGTCTTCGCTTTTGTTGATACCTGACCGTGTGTGCATAACAGAGTTATCTCCCTTAGTGTCGCTGAGCGAAATAAATAATAATGTCGCTTATATCATGTCAGAAAGATTTATTTCAATATTATCAAGCTCAGAAACATGTCACTAATGTTTTATAATGTGACCTACATATGGTACTGTGGACCCAGATATATGTTAGATTTTAGTAAAAAATGTTTAATAGATCTAAAGGGAACATAAACATAACATGTTTGTCTGAAGCACAGGACCATATGTTACCAGATACCATAAAATAGATAATCTATTTTACGGTCCATAATGTTACTAATATTAATATTCTGTAATAACAAACTCGCAAACGAGGTCGACAGCCGAGGCGGAATATAACGGAAAATTCTAAATTAGCCCACCTCGATTTATAAAATATATATTTTTTTCATATAGGCTTCTTCTTTCCATCCAGCACAATAAACGTTTAGATCAATCTTTATTCAACCCTCCTCATACAACCCCCAACACCGACGTCGCTTCCGGTTTGTGGGGCTGCCAATTCAACCCCCTTTCGGTACGCGTAATTCGGGGGTCTGTTCACAGGGTGTTCGGGACTAGAGCCGGAATGAAGTCTGAATGAAAATTCTTTGTTTATTCCTGGATATTCGAAGTGCATTAAAAAAACTTCTGACCTCATTCCAAATATTCGGGCCAATTCCTGTGGCCGCGGCCCGAATGTTTTGCTCATGCTCAAAACTTTCGAGGTGTATTCGAAGTGGAGAAACATCGAACGGCATTCGAAGTGTATTCTAACTGCTCCCTGACCGCATCCTAAATATTCCCACGACATTCCAACAGCATTCGAAACATTCTGATTGCATTCGAGGGAGAACCGAAACGCCAAGCCACTTCAAATCCTGCCAGATTCGACAGCATTTTATATCCTATCGGGGACCATTCCGGTGGCATTCTTGATATACTCGGGACATTCGTGTTTCATTCGAAGTACATTCTAAGTATTCGAGCTGCATTCTGTTTGAATTCTTGGACGTTCGAACCATATTCGGCGGTCATTCCGGGAGCGTTCTGACTGCATCCGAGGTGATTTCGTACAGCATTCGAGCACCTTCCAACCAGACTTCGGGCGGTATTCGGACAGCAATCGAACCGCACTCGTTTGACATTCTAACTGTATATTCTAAATATTCCTACTGTGTTCCATTTACATTCGAGAGCTAATACACCCGGAATGTGCAAGAATCATTCGAGGCGTGTTCGAAGCGTATTCTAAGTATTCGAACGGCATTCTCAAAAAGCTTGGTCAATATGAAATTCCCTCCCGAATGTGGCACGAATTTTGAAAATTCTTCATTCCGGCTGGTTCTGCTTAAAATTTATTCCTGTTGATTCCGAATAAGGGTGACGGGGGCATTACACGGGACGCAAATAAAATCGTATCTGGTACTCAGATTCAACATTTTAATATGATAATGATGTATTAAAACGATTTCTTTACATATTCTATATTTCGATACTTTTTATGCAATTTAACTTTAAATCGCATCCTTTTATGAGCTGAGCAAGTGTCCTGTCGGGTTTCGTCTGTGGTCGACATTCTGCCTTTGTAGAGTAAATTCTGACGTGCTTTTGAGATTCGTGTTACAGTAAACTACGGTCATAACGAATTGAAAAGGAGCACTATTTTAGTTTGTTATAACCATATAGTTCGTTATAGGCACATATGTACAGCAAATGGACGGGACGTGTTCCTGAGCTTGTTTCAGCAAATTCGAAGGATATATCCTCGACGAATATTTCGGTAGTAATCGGACGCCAGCGGTTGAAGTCGGACACCCTTGCGGCAGTACCCGGGCACTTTAAGAATTAAAAAAAAAAATGTCTTTACCCGAATATAACTTAATTACAATTGTGTTTTTCTCATTGTGTCAGATCTAAACTACGAAAATGTATGTCAGCTTCATCGGGAATGCTAATTTTGAGGGCGTTTTACGTGATAGATGTTTGTTTTCTGGTTCCTGATTCATCTGGTAACGGCTTCACATGATACACATGGTACCTATGAAGAAAGAAAATATATTATGACAAGTGGCAACTTTCGCTGAATAATCTTCCGTTGTTAATTAGGTGCAAAGTCATTAATTATAATCATAGAAATAAACCATTACAGCCAATGAATATAGTTTCAGGTTTAATATTACCCAGTTATTGACGAAAATATTGCGGTGGGTCTCGTGCTATGGTGATAGCTGCATTGGTGCCTATACCCCACCCAGGTGGTCCAGAGTATGCATGGATCTCGTGGAACAGGGCGTCGAGGGGAAATTCCATTTTTCTGTTAAAATATGAAAAGTATGTATATGTTTTGTACATTTTAATGTGAAATTAACACTGAGTTCACTTTAAAAAAAATAGCAAACTATGCCAATAATAAAATTCACATTGCATATGAGGGAAACATTCTTTTCTCTCTCAGCTACAAGTGTGACACGTGAATGGAAGGTCGGCCAGTTGTTGGCGTGGTAATGTCTGGTATTCCAGGCAATTCTTGTGGAACCATTTTGTACAATTTAGGCATCCAACCCAGTCGTCATCATCCGCCAAATCCTGACCCCCAAAAAGGTGACACAAATCCCGGGGGTATTATCTGGAAAATCGGTGTCGTCGTAGCCGTCGTCATCCATGTAGGGATTCTCGGAATCAGAGAGGTCTTCGTCACTGTCTAGTGTTTCCTTTCTTTTCATTTCAATTTGTTTTAACATTTTGGATGTCTTTTTCTCGTCTTCATGTTTTCTCTTCTGTTCACGCTTCTCTTCCCGTTCTTTTTCTTTTAGGGCTTTCTGGGCTGCTTTCTCTTCTCGTTTAAGGGGCGGTACGGTAGCCTAGTCACGCCGAAGACCCGGGTTCGATTCCCGACATGGGTAAAATGTGTGAAGCCCATTTCTGGTGTCCCCGCCGTGATATTGCTGGAATATTGCTAAAAGCGGCGTAAAACCGTACTCACTCACTCGTTTAAGTTTCGTCTCCTCTCTCATTTGCTTTCTTTCATCTGTTTCTCTTCCTCTGCCTTTCCCTTCTTTGATAGGAGAAGTTCTCTGTAGGCTTACATTTTTGGGTACGGCTCCATACTTGAGAGAGAGCCAAATATTTGTCAAATGCGTGGGCTGTGTGGGCTGTGGCTACAGTTGATGTAGAATGTAAGGCGAGGGGTGGAGTGTCTGTTTGCTGTGTTGTGATGTGTCCAGTTTGTAATTGTACGGGTGCCTGTTGGTTTGTGAGGTGAGGTGAGGTGAAATTGGGTTTAACGTCGCGTCCAAGATTATTGCACTTATATAGCGACGTGCATGTACGTGTATGTGTTTGTGTGGCTGCTTGTACTAGTCCGGACTGATGCCGATTTATAGTGCTAGCTCAATGATATACCATGCCGCAGTTTAACATGAATACCCCACTCAGACACAGTATAATGACTCCGAGCCGACCAGTCCATGTCGAGCGCCAGACAGGGTAACAACAAGTACCATCTTTTAACGTCTTTTGGTATGACGCGGCAGGGGATCGAAACCCGGACCTCCCGCTCTCCGGGCGGACTCCCTACCACTAGACCACGGAGGCGGTCAGCATGTGGGTTTGTAGGGGATGATGGCAGAGTTGTTTGTACGACTGGTGAGGATGCACATTCTGGTGATGTTAGTGTAGCCGAAGGTTGGGATGGAGTTTCCTGACTTAACCGAGTGTCTGCCGGGGTGCAGATGGGAATGTTCTGACTGTGGATGGGGTTACAGGGGTTGACTGAAGGACTGGTTTGCATGTATCAAAGATAGTGCTGGGTTTTAATTTCTGATTATCAGTTACTATACCAGGATTGAGCGGAAACAGGCCAGATTCGAAGAAACCCCTCTTTGCATTTTCTGTGAAAGAAGCAGTTTTGAATAGTTTGCAAAGGTACATTTCCTCACGCATTCTCCGATATTTGAAATCTGAAAATCTCGTAGATTGGCGCCATGCATGTTTGAGAGGACCAAACAAACTCAGGTCGAATAACATGTTATGCGTGTGAAGGGAGACAGTACAGGACGATGTTGTTCTCCCCACAAACAGTGCACGGTTCTGGGGTCATGATCAGGTGCGTTGAATGACCGTCTAGAAACAGAATTCTTGGTTATGTATATTCTAAGGGACGACTATATGAATTTCGTTGATGGGTACTTTGATATCTTTTCTTGAAAATCAATAAATTTGCTCTTTTCGACATAAATTAATAACATTTCAAACATGTTAGGGGTCATGTGGTTGCAAGTTCATTTCCTACCATAGTCTTCATCGAACCAATATATTTGTACACAAAATTATTCAGCCTTTTCTCACACTGTTGCAGGAATGAGTGATAGTTAAATAGACATAATCAAATCTAACAACAGTTCTTTCAATAATTTTCCATTACATAAAAAAACACTCGGTATACTCTCCTTTGACCCTCAGTTAATACGTTTTTACTCGTTTGATACTTTATACATATTGTTCATAATTCTGTGATAATTTGTTTTTCATAATCATCATTATGATTAACATGCATTAAAATGTTAAGCCGCTTGGCAACTCATGGTCGACCATCCACTGTGTTACATCGCCATTCTATTATGATGAATACCGCTAAATATTACCATTTATTATTACAAAATCATTTGCGAAATTTGGAACAAAATCCAAGCCATATTACCGAGGGGCGTCAAATCCGGCTCTACATGGTGTACCCATGTGGTGAATTTGTGTGACGACTCAACGCTTTATCCTCGCTAGACAAACCCCACCGCCATTGTCTTTGTCGGTTAAGATTATTTATATAAACAAATGTCAAATCAGGTTTGAAGTGTTGTATATTTCATGCAGGTGTTCACCAGAATAGTCACGCGATGTCATGGTTACGAGTTTAGCCAATCGGGAACCACTTCCGTTGCACGAGATTTTCCTGCGCGTAATCCAGACTCGATTGATCGAAGCAGACGACGTTTACTTTATCAAATGCACCGGTGCATGTTAAATTAATTTCAACAAGTTGTTTAGAATTC